CGTTGCCTGATAACGCTCTCATGAAGACGCACTCGTTCCTCTGTGAGTGTCGCACAGTTTACATTTGATTCGGAGCGGTCTATGCGCGAAACTAAATTCGGCGATGGTACGTTCGATCTCAGTTCACTCCGTGTGCGTCCGACCTTGTTCCTCTTTCGCCAGTCATTCAAAAAGGAAAAAGTTTACGGCATGCCTCAATTTCAGGGGGTCAAGGAATGCAGAAATGTAACTTCAAGCAGAAGTGTACAACGAAGCGCTGCTCTTGCCGGGCCCAGAACCTGCTTTGTGATTCGCGCTGTCACAATTCTCAACCCTGCACCAACAAATAGGTGAGTACTTGCCATCCTTTTTTTAAAATTTGTTTCTTCTTGTTTTTGTTTTATTATTGTTTTATTTTTATTTTTTTTTACGGGGGTTTCCCGTAAAAACTTCCGCAAGTTCATGATTTTTTCCGACGATGCCCGATCGCCCTTGGTCAAAATGGACGATGGCCGGGCATTTTCGATTTTGCTTCGCGATCCCGTACATTGCCCGCCCATTTCAAGCGGTCCTTGGGCATCGTCGCGACGATGCCCGCGCCCTAGACGTTGCCCATAATAACATAAATATCATTCTATGAAATTGACGTGTCCTCCGTGAGAAAATAAACCAGGAGCGGTGATTGTAAAACAAAGCGCAGTGAAGATACGTGGTGTCACACTTTAGCCATCCATTGATACATTCTGCCGTGCTAAGGAAGAACGCCGTATGAACATACAAGACTTGCCAAATTTCCCCTTGATAAAACATGTATTTTTGACAACATTTACGCATATTTTTCCTCGAAATTTTCAGATATTTTAGATTAAATTGCCTACAAAATTATCTAAACATTTTGGAAAATAATATTCGCAATTTTCCCAGTAAATTCGGTTTTTATTGGAGGAAACTTGGCAACGCCTAAAGGCTTATACGGCATTCTTCCTTAGCACGGCAGTACTGTTACTCATCCTTTTCTTCATCGTTCATCGTTTTTTCCTTCATCTTACGGCACATTTAGCTATTGACTCAATCACATGTTCTCTCTCTTTTCGTCGCTTCTCTAATTTAAGGGCGTATCTCAATTTCCACGTGGGCTATTGGTTACATTGCAATCCATGCTCTCTAGGGCTCATGCGATATTCAAGTTGAACCCTTATGTTAGAGAAGCGACGTTTTAATCGACTGTGACAAAGCATTCAAAAGTGCGGCTCAACTTATGTCCGAATCAACCAGCACGACGTGGCTAATTTAAATAAATGATTCACTTGTTCGAAGTACAGGAAAAGTTAAAAAAGAGAACAAATAATATCTCTAAGTTTAAACTCTTGAGCAGCAGTCCAAATTTTATGTTCTCATGCTCTTATATGTTCTCTTCTCTGTTCTTATGCTCTGATCTACCTGTTGTTCATGTGAGTCATGGCTCCGACAAACTATGGCTCAAGGTAAATCACTCTTGAGGCAGACTTCTTTGATTTAATTCTTTACTTAGATGTTGCGGTTCTTACGTTCATGCTAGCAAATATCATTTGACTGCAGCTAGTTTCAGAATAACTAATTAGTTGCGAGATCAGAGGTTAAAATTTAAAACATGAATTTACATTGAAATAGCTGTACCGATAAAAAAAAACTAAAACAGACCATTTATTTTCTATCTTGGATTTTCACCAAAAAAAAAAAGAAAAACATTTTTTGTCCGACCTCTCCTAATGACGCGACCTACTGTGCATCGCCGGCCTACCGCACACCTCCCTCTTAAAATAGACTACATACATATAAGTCGCTTTACAGCACTCCCTCGCGCTCTACGACTCCTAACCTCCACTGCTCTTTTTTAAACCACAAATCTTGGGGCATTGAGCACCTTAACCAATAGACGAATAGACGAAAAATAGACTACTTTTTGCAATTAATTAGGAACTACATAATCTAGATATCCGTAAAAACACTTATGCGCATAGGGAAAATGATGGCAAATACGTGCTTTCTAAACTGACATAAGCAAGAAATTGTAGTTGCTAATCGCAAAATGTAGTTCAAATGAAAATCGAGAGGGGTTACGACCCTATGTCTGGGAAAAAGTCGTAACCAATTAATGGAAACTATAAGCATCGACCTCGATTTGGCAAACTCGTTCGATTATGAAAGAGGTCTCGCAAAATTGTTTCGACGTATCAAATTCATTAGTTTTCTTTTTGCGGATGTTTGACCCCAAAATAATGTTCTGATATTTCCCTCCTCCCCCTTTTCTCAACGATTTTCCACGACCAATCTAACGTTCAGCCATTTTTTATTGAGTTTCTTTCGTCCTATCTTCCGTTATGTAACGATCGCAGTCGTTGTTTTGGAGCAGTGGCGAGGCGTGAATGATCGATTAACGATATTTCCCCATTTGAGCTGTTGTAAAGAATCGATCATTAGGGTGTTCGCTGCGAACACCCTAATAATCGATCCTTTTCCATTGGTTTAAATGGTAGATCAATTGATGTATCGCAAATCACGCCACGCCACTGCTTTGGAGGCCACATTGGAGGTAGTTAAATTTTAAAATATAAATTAGAATCTGGAGAATGAAAAGGAAAGGTAGAAATGCTGGCTGCAAATTAGTGATAAAATTAACAATCTCCTACATTCAGTCTTAATGATGGCGGCACGATAGTTCGATATTAGATATTTTTTCGTATAAGTCGGTTTGATCCCTTGTGATTTTTCACGCCTGGTCCAGTTGTGCGATTGTGCGTGCAGGAAACGTTTTTCATTGACAGTGATATTTTTTAAAGTATTTTTTTTTAAGTTTATGAAAAACCCTGTGATTTTTAAGTCGTCAGCTTCGGCTTATACATCCCATTTCATTTCCCTTTGATAAAACTCAACATTTTGGAACTTTGAAGACAGTTTATTTCTATTTCATGATAACTACGGTAAGTTAACATAAGTTTTTTGTGTTTACAAAAAAAACTATTTTTCATACATTAATTCTATCAAGTCGACAGATTTGGGCAAGCTTTTTTTATTTTTATTTTCTTACTAAGGATAAAAGCAAAAAAAATATTCCAAATTAAGTCGTGTATTCGATCACAATACACTGATATTAGACAAATCATTACATTTATCCTCTGTAAGTTGTAATTGAAAACTTTCTCTCCTAAAACATCCCAAATGAGTTTCTTCAAATGAGTCCGCGCGGCATAGACACTTGACTTTTACATGAAACGCTCATATTAATTTATTGTTAGTACACTGCCGTGATAAGGTAGAACCCCGTATGAGCCGTCAGACGTTGCCAAATCTCCTTTGACAAATCAAGAATTTCAAAGAAAATGTTTAAATATGTATTCAAATTTTGCGGAAAATTTTGTTTGTAGTTCAATCTAAAGTGTCTGAAAATGACAAGGGAATATATTCATATTTTTTCCCGAAGATAAATATTTTATCACTGATAATGTGGCAACATTAAAATTTTCCTACGGCGTTTTTCCTTAGCACGGCAGTGTAGTGTGTTAAGGGGGGGGGGAGCGGTAACGCAGTGATATCAAATGATGCCGCAATCCCCCGATGGAATATTTTTTGATGATAAAGTTTATGAATAATACTCATCTTTAGTAGTCTCAGAAACACTGTGATATATTACGAATGAAATTATTTTAAAAAATTAAAGAAAAAATTTCGCTAATTTTTGAAGAAACTTCGAGAAAAAATCCGAAGAAATTTAGCAGCAACTAGATTTTTCAACGACGTTTTTCCTCACCACGGCAGGACAGTACGTGCGTTGCATAATGAGTAAGGATTTTAATTATGTAAAATAAGAAGGAAAGTTTAAAGTTGTGCTCTCGACTTCCAAAAATATTTTTCTCTTTTCATTTTAAAGAAACTCACGTCCAAACCTTTTTTATGAAATGATGAAAAGAATCTGTCAATTGAATTTTAAATGCCGATATTTTTTATGATCTTTTTTTTCGCGCGGTTACTTGCATTGTAAATTAAACTACTATTTTTTGTTCGAGCTCAAAAATTTTTGCCATGAAACAATGTAGTGAAGTTTGCACACCAATAATTAGTTTATTAACTTCGACTGTACATAGCTGCCATGTCTTTTGTATACCAATGTATTTCTTGTTTTGGAATTGACTTAAAATGTGATGCATCATCTTTTTTCAAAATTTTTACTTGTATGAAAATGATTCTTATCTAGTGTAGAAGGTTTGATGGAATGCGGCATTGACCAGAGGCAATCTAACTGCATTTTATGTTGCCTTAATTGTTTCCTCTCATACTTTACTTCTTTGACTGAAAATCATGATAAATAATTGAAACTTTCCCTAAATATGCGCTAGAGTATGCATTTTGGAAAATACTCTTAAATTGCAATGCAGAACGTTGCCTAGGTTCTTATCAAATAATAAAATGTAGGAATGCATTTGACGACATTTGTGATATGAGAGCTTATCTCTGTTGAAGCCGCCAAAATTAAGGCGAGCCTTTGTCAAAAATAGGCAAATATCAAGATATTGAACAAATTTAGCAGAAAATACTGAATCCACTTCGAATGTTCAGTTCTCGTGGCAAAACGAGATTATCAAGCTCAAAGACACGTTTTAGCTAGCAGTGTCCAGAAATGTCTACTTTGAAAGCATAAATAAAACTTTAAACTAGTTGGGGAAAAAAGGAAGATATCGCATCTATCTAATCAAATAGGCCGGACAATTTATGCTCTCAAATCTTTGTATATTTAATGAAAAATTTTCAAAGACATTTCCCGAGAAGATTAATTTTCTGGATAGGACGGTTCCCTTTTTATATTATACATTAAAAAATAACAATTATCGACAATAAAATAACTGTTTTACAAACAAATTCATTCGATCAGTCGATGTTTGTTTACTATCGGTGTAAAAAAATGGAGCACTCGATTTTAACAAAAATTGCTGATTACTTAAAAAAAGTAGGACAAATGAAACAAAGATTGGAACGCTTGAAATTCCCTGAACTTGGACTCCAAAGTTCAAGGTTCTCTCAGATAATGTCTCCGTTATTTTGAAATTGTTGGCAACATCGCTGAAAATCTCAGTGACTCATTTTTATCACACGACGTCGCTCATCTGGCGTAAGGGCGAATCTCGATTTTCGCATGAGCCCCAGAACGCATGGATTTATATGCAAAACAGGGATCATGCGTAAGTGGAGATACGCCCTCACGTCAGAAGAAAGACGATGAGGCAGGTCTATCCACGCTACTGTGAAAAAACCGGATGAAAAAATTTAGAGGATTAAGAGCTTACACTCTTACTTAGAATGGACTTTTCAAGGTTACCTCCATCTAACTCTGAGATCTAACAATGTTTTTATCGTCTTGCCATTTTTCTTTACGTTCCACCTTCTACTGATTTATATTTTACTAGTGCTGGTTTATAAAACGCGAAAACGGCTCATCAAAAAGACGACTGCGTCTTCATAATAAAAAAGAAAAAAAATCGCACGAAAGTACTTCATTACACAATACTGATTCATATTCACTTAATTTCGTCTACCAAAAATCCCTGATGCACGGCTCATTCGTTTTTTTAGCTCGTTAATTAGCAGTCTTCGAAACACCTGCCCGTGCACGTTAGAACAGTTTCGTTTTGTTCATTGTGTGATTGCGTTTGGTTTGCGGCACAAGTGATTTTTATCATCCCAGGACCCCTTTTGGATTAACTATCAAATAGTAAGTACAGCTACAAATAAATTTATATCCTAGTGTAGGTGATGGTGCACAAATAATAAGGTAATTGCAGTCTGTAGAGCTATAATTACAAATAAATAAATAAGGTTTCAGTCATTTCTTTGCAAAGTTAATTGAAAAAAAAACAACAACAATTGAGGGGCTTGGAGGACAAGGCGCAAAAACAGTGCAGTTTTTGAAAATATTGAGATATCAATGATTTCATAAACCAGTCTTAATGTATATTTTGCGAAAAATTCGCTTCCAAATTCCGATTTTTAAGCATCAAAAAGTCAGTTTGAACTTTCTCTCCGCCACAAGGTTCCGCATGTAATTTCGAAACTTCCAACACGTATTGCCCGAAATAACAAAAACTTCACTTATGTGCCTAGTTGTCTTCCAAGCCCTTCAATTGTCACATTTAATACCAAAAAAGGCAAATGTAGGCCCTTCGGAGGCAGACTCTGTCATTATCACCACGGCAAAGTTATCAAAACAGTAGGTTTCTTTATTTTATATTTTCCGAACTGATACACGTAAATTAGGTGAATCAACATAAAGGACTGCTTAAAACAATGTCAGCTTTGAGACAAAGCTCAGGATTTTAAAAATTTATTGTGTGACGCGCAAAAAGACTAGTGGTGAGGCGTGAATGATCGATTATCGATATTTCCCCATTTGAAGCTATGGTACTGGTGATGAATCGATTTTTAAAGTGTTCGTTGCGAACACCTTGTTTATCCATCCTTTACCATAGGTTTAAAGGGCAGATCAATCGATTAATCGCAAAGTACGCCACTCCATTGGAGAAGACTCGAATTTACTGGGACCTCCTCCCATCGCTGCGTGTCAACCTCCCGATCTTGATCGCACCGAAGTTTCTAACTTGGTCTTTAAAAACGAAGCTTCTTGAAAGTCTAAAAGTTTAATTTATTTTATTATTTCTTTCGATCCTTATGATCTCGGCTTCAATTTGGTGTAATGATTGAACAGTTTCATTAACTAGTTAGCGAGAAAACCAGATTTTCTATGACCAGTTATATAAAAAACGCGTGCTCGCCTTCAAACGCGATGCCAGATTGCACATGCCTACTGCAAAATTTTCCCGCTCTGTCGGAGAATAATGAGAATATAATATTTTCCCTAACAGAGTTACAAATGAAAAGTGTGAGTCCGCAACCACGTACCTCGGTTTGCGACGTTGGAAACGTCCTGTCATACTGTATTTTTTAAATAAAAAACCATTCAACTGTTATTCTTAATAGCCTCCGTGATTTTCTTTCTCTGCAAGAAGAGAATTCTGCGAAAATTTCGAGGAACGGTGTCGATTTGTTCTCCTTTGAAAAAGCAAAAACGGAGCAGAGATTCAAAAACTGCAAGGGAGATACGTAATTGCAGACTTAAACATAGTTGATTTGTTGATAGCGGTGATATGATAATGTATGAGAACATATGTTCCACAAGTCTTCCAAAAATCAAGCACAAATATGAATTTGTTAAGTTTCACAAATTTTTTCTAGGAAATTTTATGTATTGGCGAATTCCAGTAGCAAAATTCCTGAGTCCAAGGTGCGCCCCTGTATACAGACCGTCGCAAAAATCTGAATTTCTCGCTGACTGGTTAATCAGAAATACTGGCCCAGTACATTAAATTAAAGCTGGAAAATCGTATTTATTCGCTGAATTTACGGTTATTACCGTCTGATAGCGTTGAAACCGTGATCTTACGAACGAAAGAGAGAAAAGAAGAGAGAAATACATTAAAATCATGTCTTTATCATAAAATCTGGAATAAAAAAGGTTCTTTAATGCCTTGATATAAATTTGAATATAGTGAGATGGGAAAACTTTAATCAGAGAACCTTGATAACTGGATACAATTCATTTTGAAAAATCACTGGGTGCCCCGTGGTGTAAACAAATGCAGCACAAGATGAAGGAGTCAGAGCTAGACAGGTTTAATTACATTGCGACGTCGCGAAGTTTCGCTCAATCACAAATTTCCTTGTTCATGAATGAACGAATGCATTTTAAATATGAATTTTCCTAAAATTTTAATCAAATCACCGAAAAAAGAAAAATAACGCTTCTTATCCAATTGATGTGTGGTTAATTGTTACAAAAATCTGAATTACAAAAACATTTGAAAAACGAGCCATACTATAACGTGTACAGTCTGTCAACGTAATTTTTTTGAAAACGCCAGGATTTCCTTCAAATCCATCCCAAGCGGAACTTTATAATCAGACAATATGCCTCGTGGACTGGAATGACCGCCAGAGCGCCTTCCATTTTTCCATATGCAACACGCGCGTCCATTGGGTACGAATATTTGTATCAAGGCGTTAATGTCAACATATTGAATGAGATTTGCTTTTGTTGATTCAATAGGTTATTTTCCACTAAAAGACTTGATTTTTCCATGATTATCCCCCAAAGATTGTATATTCAATTTTGTATATTTCAGGGCTCGGCTACTTTTGCGTGAAAATATTTCATTGCGGGATATAATTTTTATAGAGCTGTTGACAGAATGTGGCTATATGAAGTTGTTCAACCATACATAAATGAGCCAATCATTCTCCATGCATCCTCTCGACATGCTCGAACTAAACTTTCCTACGCATCTTGATCCCTTTGGCTATATCTTAGACCTATTGGCATACATTGGGAATTGATGTTTTGATAGTTATTCCCTGTCCCAGAGCTTGATAGGCGCAATTTCTCTTTGAGCCTCTGTTTCTACCGGCCGAAATCATCCTGTTTAGTGCGCTTTGAGCCACTTTATGTTCAGCAGCTTCAGTCAGTATAGGCAAAACATCATTATCTGGATCGCATTTAGCAGAAAGGAACCAAGCGACATCAGATACTGTCAAATTTAACTGGGCAATTTCATTTTTTACAAGAGAATGGTTGTGCGGATTCCTTTGAGAATTTTAAGGAATTTCCTTTGTACTCCACAGAAAATGCGTAGAAATTTGCAAAAAAAATCCGCAAAACCGTTTTCATGTAAAAAATTAAACTGCCAGTTGAATTTAGCAATAGCTGATGTGGCTTGGTTCCTTTCTGTTTAACGCGGTCCAAATAACACTCGTATTGCGTTCGGTGCAATGCGAGAAGTATTCATGCAGTCTTGTAGGCGCTAATATGCGCTGGGCGCCGGCCGCACTGTTAGGCGCAATGCGTGAAGTTTTCCTGCAGTATTGCAGGCGCTGATATCAGTTTGACGCAGACCGTGTCGCACCGTGTTTCCGTTTGTTTGGTCCTTAAAGATCCTAAGGCGTTCATTGGAAATTTGTTTACTCCTCCAAAATTACAAGGAAAAATTAGCAGGTTTGGATCAATAGACATTCCAATTAATAAATCCTGCATGAGAATTCGCGCCAGGTCAAAAGGAAATCTTCTTGTTTCTAACGATTTCTCCGGTTGACTCGACAAGAATTCTCCTCTGGAGGTGCATCTCATTGATACAACTGATACATTATCGATCGATTCTACCCACTTTAAAACGTATTCTTAACTTATTTCTTTTATTGTCTCATTTCTTTCGCAGCGGCCGTGGGCGGAAACATGGATATCGAAACATACATTACACCCGAAAGACTCGAGAAAGATGTGGAGCATTTGCAAGACTGGATGTCGAAGGAGCCTCACATGCCGAAAATCGACGACAAAGAATGGATCATCACGTTTCTGCACCACAACAAGTACAGCCTTGAGAAAACGAAAAAGAAGCTGGAAAACTACTACGCCTACCGGAATAAATACCCAGAGGTCCTCAAAAACCGCGATCCACTCGGTGAATTTCTCTCGAGGTCGCGCAAGCTCTTCAATCTCAGTCTCGCAGATAGACTCACCAGAGATGGAGAGCGGATACTTTTCGGCAGGTATAAATCTAATGGAGAGGCTGCATGTGTGAGGAATTTGCGATTTGACTATGAACTCTGATGTGAAAGTTCGCGAGAAACACGTCCACCCCTACATCAAAACAAACTCTCCATGCAAAGATAGGGAGCAAATACATTAGCAGGGATGCCGTGTTTTCAGTTTTAGAGTCCCGAAATAAAGTGGCAGCCCTGTCAATGTATTTGCTCTCTATCTTTCCATGGAGAGTTTGTCTTGATGTGGAGGTAGACTCTCAGGGTTGGGTGGGATATCCCCTCCATTTCGGCCTCAACTTGAGAGCTTTTTTGAGCTTGGGAGTTGATTTCAGAGATAACAATTTAAGTGGCACCATCGTGTTTCTCGCGAACTTTTCCATAAGAATCAATAGTCAAATCTCAAATTCCTCACACATGCAACATCTCTATTTTCTTGGCCTTCATTCAGTCTTTTTACACGGTGACACTCACCCATTCATATCTGTAATAACACTGCGTCAAGCAGAGACGCGCCGAGTCGCAATCGATCCCACATTGAACGGTTATACAATTTCTTTTAAAAATTGCAGGTGCATGATTTGTTTTACGACACAGAGGAAATCCTCTGATGAAATTTTCAAAAGAATCTACACTACCGTTTTCCAGAAAAGAAATAATAAATACATTTTTCGCTGGAATTTGGCATTAATTGATGTGACTTGGTTCTCTTTTACGGCATGCGGTCAAATTAATGCTGCAATAAATTAAGCACAGCATGAAAAAATTTACCATGAAGAGAGAATGACTTCATTTTTGTAAAACACACTGAGACCAGCTATGTATGTCAAATTGTATCTTGCAGTTTGAAAACATATCATCTCCATTCTTTTCAAAATTCTTTCCTCGACAATTTTCGATGCCATCGCCCTATAGATACGTCGAGCTTTAAGTACAAAACTAAAAAAAACTATAAAACTTGCTGGATTAAAAAACTATGAATCGATGGGGAGAGTAAAAGAATGTGACATCGTAAATCGCCGCCAACGTTTAATTGTTGGGATTAAATCTATGCATATGTATTTATTTTTTTCTTATTTTGATATTTCTTATTTTTTAAATTATTTTATTTTTTATTTTTTTTACTTATTTGTTTGTGAGAAACTAACCAATTATATTTTTAAACTTAATTTCAGTGAATTTTCATTACTCATCCAAAATCATTTACTCACAATGTCAATGAGGTGTTCTGTACACTTATCAGAGAAAAAAAAATTGTAAAATTTTAGATTGGGAACGCCCAACAGTGTCTAAGTAGTGGGACATTGACGGACATTGGGTAATTGACGAGTGGTGATTCTGAAACGTCATAGCTGATCTAAGTTTTTTTTTTTTTTTTTTTTTTTTTTTTTTTTTTTTTCAAAATGACTTATTGTCTATTGTGCTCACCACAACTGTAAATGTATTCAATTTCAGCTTCAACTCAGACACAACCGGTTTCGACATTTGGGAACATATGAAATATGGCTTCATGATCGTTGACACGTTCTACTTAGAGCATGACAGACATCAATACTGCATGTCCATCACAGACTGTCGAAACTTGAGTTACGCTTTCTTCTTGAAGGCGCTTCCTGGAATCAAAACCGGGATCGACATTTTCTTCACAGCTTACTCGGATCGACTCAAAGCTTTTCATATCATCAACGCTCCAGCGGGCGTGGAGAAGGTTTTGAACGGGTTCAAGAGTTTTTTGCCGGCTAAAATCGCTGACAGGTTTTTTGTCCACTCCTCGCCGAAAGAACTGCTCCAGGTAGTTGACGAGAACGTAGTTTGCAGCGATTTTGGCGGCAAAGGCCCGAGCTTGGCTGAATATGACGGTAAATTTTCAGAATAATTCACTCTTCTCCTTATAGGAACAGCTTCAACTGGAATACATTTTGCAATAGGGAATTACGTTTTTCGGGTATCTATCTATGGAGAAATAAATATATGCATAGGGTAATTAATGGCACATTTTGTCGTCCAACTACATTTTGCAATTTTAGAGACAACATAAGTGCGTTCAGTTCCCCTAGGCAGATAGGTGCCTCTATGGGTAAGCTAGCAATTTTAGTTCCTTATTGTCAAATGCAGACCACTTGTTTCACTGCATGAGTTTCAGAGTATGACCTCTTTTAGTCCACCTGCTCGTAAGACCACGGCTCACAAGATTCAATGACTTGCTACTTGCTAGATAATTGGACTGCACTATGCAATAAGGAACCACAGTTTCTAAATCAGTTTAGATGTAGCGTATGTACCATTAGTTTCCCTCTGCACATACAAGTTTTCACGAATGAGGCTGAAATTAAAGTTTCAAATTGCAAATGTTGTCCAACTGAAAGAAGGATCATCAAATAGCGTAAAATTCTGTTGTGAGGTTGCAATGCGATAGAGCCCATCCAGTATTAGCATCCCTTCTCTAATGGTGCACTGAAGTTAACATACAGGCTATCAAATGTTATTTTCTCGCCTATCTCCTCAACTCTTTCAAATGCATGGGCTACTTACTATCTGCATCCTATAATATTTTGATAGACGTCTGCTTGTTTAATTTGTAATTTTTTATTTTTTTTTTCGAAAACAAAAAATGAAATAGCTATAAATATTTAGATCATATGCGTTCCTTTCCATTTGAGTCTTTTCGTTCTTATTCTACTGTTTTTTTTTTTCCTATCATGTCTCTTCACTTATATTATATATAATTTACAATTTCTCAGAGTACACCGCAAATCTCATGAAAAAACATCGTCAATGGTACCTGGATCAAGATGACGTCACTACAAACGAAGACCTGAGGCGAAAAACACCAAGTCAAATAGAGGAACTGAAGGGATCTTTCAGAAAACTCGAAGTTGACTAACTTTGTAACTGCGATTTGTTCCTGTTTTTCGGTTGCTGACACACCGTTTCTGTTTGTTACAATATGTTCCACAAAGTTAAACGTGAGGAAGGAAATAATTCTACAAGTTGATCATTGATAACTATAGTGCTTAGTTTGCACCTCACATGATAGAGATGTTCATCTTTAAAATGCAAATATCACTGTAAATAAATGAAGGTTTTTTTGGATCTAATTTCCACGTCATCTTGGAAAGCATATTTTATGATTTATCAAATTGTTATAAGTGTTAATCCTGTTATACTAGTCCATTCGTCCTTTTTTCTTAAATATACTTTTTTTTATAAAAAAAAATTGGTGTTATTGTTCCGGCATTGTGCCGTCCCCGTGTAAAAGACACACAGATACAGTTTTTTCTCTTCATTTGAACGGTTTTGGTAAACATTTCCTTAGGGAGGAGGCAATGGAGAATTTGCACCAAAAAAATTGCATTGCTCTATCTTGGAGCAGTAATGAGCTGAGGTTGAAGTGTTTTCCATATTTTTCTTTCTGAACTGGGAAATTATAGAAAAATAGATTTGAAAGTGAGAAGATGTGTCACCTTGTGATGTCATTTGACGGCAATCCCCATATACATATACACATGTATTTTAGCAGATGTATTTAGCAGATTTAATTTGTCATATTTACTGAAATAATTGTTGAATTTAGGAACCAAGGATAGCATCGTGTTCAGTTCTCAAAGTCATTTCATTTTAAACGTGAAATTCACAACATTACAGCCACCTTCAAAATTCTTCATTCGCTTTATTTGAGCAGCAACACTTAACCTCACGTTAAAAAATTTGGAGGCCCGACTGTTGGTCCAACCCAATTTTCCTCTGAAAATTACAGTCCCAAATAAACTTTAAAAAAAAAAAAAATACAATGCGTCATATCCGCACAAGAGAAAGAATCGGATCGCCAGATTTTTTGATCGGAGAAATCGCACATAAATGAGCGGTTTTTTTTTTTTTTTTTTTTTTTTTTTTTTTTTTTTTTTCAAAAATCGCCTGCATCGTCTTGCTTTTTTCAAAGTCTGCTTGCTGTCCCTAGGAATCAATTGAAGGCCCTCGTAGTCACCTGAAAAATATGGAAATCGAAGAACACATTACACCAGACAGACTCCGTCAAGACGTCCAACATATGAAAGACTGGATGGACAAAGAACCTCACCTACCAAAAATTTCTGACAAAGAATGGCTCATGACGTTCATGCATCATACGATGCATGTAGCACGACGATGTAGCACTAGCAAGAAGAGCGTTTAATTGTAGTCTCTCCGAGAAACTGACAAAAGATGGAGGACGGATTCTCTATAGCAGGTACCGATTTCTCTCAATCGTATAATATTATCACTGCTCTACATCAATATCATCATTTATTTTTTTCTTTTATTTTGACCCATTTTTTCTCTAAATGGCGCACCGTTCGGGTTTCGACGAGGGCTGTCGAAGCCCCTAGAGTGAGTTAAGACAATGTGAATCCATTTCTGATTGGTTACCTTATTTTTTTTATTAATTTTTTTTATTTATTAGCAAAATCTTATTACATTAGTTCTAAGATTAGCTTCACGCTTAAGTTAACATCTATGTAATGAATGCCCCGTAAGGGGCAGTGGTACATTTTTAATTTAATAATAATAAAAAAAACCGTATTTTACGCCTCCACAGTATCACAAACGGGAATAAAGATTACAATTTCACCAATTGCAAAGATTACAATTTCACCAATTGCAAAGATTACAATCTGGAATGGACCGAGGAATTACGGGTTCGACAAGGAACAAGCGGAATGAGAGAAGGAACGGAGAAAGGAATTTGAGAGTGAGCCGATCAAAGATTACGAAAAACGTTCAATATGTGTAATCTTTATTCCCGTTTAGGACTCCATGAGGGGGTATTGTCTCAACTCTCAGTATAAAGGGACTCTAGAAGCCCTCGTCGAAGCTAGTGAGAAAGCGCCTCTGCTTCTTTTACCCCAAGGTCCCACTCTTGAGTTGTTTTTTAATAGCCCCTAGTTAGTGGCACATCACTAGGAGGAGAATGAAGACATAAATATTTTTAGCGGGAACGTAAGGTAAACCGTCACTTCAAAATGAAACCCCTATGTTCTGAAATAGAGATTGCTAGACTCGCAATTTGCACCCCCAAAAATGTCTTTTTTTTACACTTCTTCCAACAAGCTATCACAAAACAGAGGCTGCCTTTGATTAGAGAGGCCCGGGCCCTGAATCATTTTGGCTCTATCAAAGACTATCTTTCACGAGGAAAAATTTCCCGTCGGATCAATAGAAATTCCAATTAATGATTCCCGGACATGCATTCTCATTAAATAGGGAATCTCTTGTTTCAAACGATATGTCTGTTATTCCAACTTGCTTTTCTCTTGCTTCAAAGAGATTTCCAGTTGACTGAACTAGAATTCTCGACCGGGAATTATTTACAGTAAAATTTGTTTCAACTCTGCATTTCTCTTGCTTCAAAGAGATTTCCAGTTGACTAAACTAGAATTCTCGACCGGGAATTATTTACAGTAAAATTTTTCTCAACTTTTCGGAGATTGGAACATCTCCAAAGTTTCATTTTCCTGTCTGTAAAGTTCTAAGTAAAAGAAAGTGGAATTGTCGCTATTGGTACACCCTGATGGATGCAGGTACTTTTTATGACCGGCAACTTCTTACATCTGCAGGTTCAACGAAGACACCAGTCTTTTCAACGTCACGAACCACCTGAAGCGGCTGTTCATGATCGTGGATTTGTTTTACCTGGAGTATGACCGACATGACTCCTTACATTCTGTCACCGACTGCCAAAATCTGAGCTACACGTATTTCCTCAAAGCGCTCCCGGGAATCAAGGCCGGGATGGACATTTTCTTCACAGCTTACTCGGATAGACTCAAAGCTTTTCATATCATCAACGCTTCGCCGGGTTTAGAGAAAGTTTTCAACGGGTTCAAAAGTTTCCTGCCGGCCAAGATCGCCGATAGGTTTTTCGTCCACTCCTCGATTGATGAGCTGATTCAGATTTTGGGCGAAGATGCGACTTGCACGGATTTTGGCGGGAAGGGCCCCTCTTACTCTGAATGTGACGGTGAGTTGTAAGTTTTTAACGTGGTCGAAGTTAAGTCCTTATTACGTCGTTCATGCTCAAAAAATTGAATCATGCAGAGGAAAAAACGTCTTATCTATTTTTAACGACTCGCATAAATTTTCTTTTCTTTTATGCGTGGCTGATACGGTAATGGCTGGACAAACAGGACTTACCTATCGACGGTCAAGCTGCAAAAATGTGCATCTCGGTTGCGGTGTTTCGAAATCCCAGCTCCTATTTTATTTTCTAAAAATGAGACCGAACCAATATCTCATTTTTAGTTTGAATTTTGAATTTTTAGTTTTTACAGAACATTCTTCAGAAAGAGAAGAGAAATCACTGAAATTTTCAAGAAATAACGTTCTTTAGGTTTTTATATGAAAAATAAAGTATGTCAGGAAGTCTGCAACACCGCAAACCGAGATACACATCCCTGCAGTTTCACCATCGCTATGCTCTAGTCAAAGAAAAGAAAAAAATATCATACTTAATAATGCACAAAATATCTGATGACGTGTCAAATAGCTGAAATAATGTTCTCACGATTGTTTAATTAGCCATCCTTGAAAATTCTCCTTAGTTTCCCTGGTAAAAATTGGCAGTAGAATCTGTGTTCCAAAATACCATAGACCTAAAGTCGGCTGTAAGATTTCCAGTAGCTCATGTAGCCGGCTACACAATTTCTTATAGCCTTTTATAGCCGATGGCGATTAAGCAACAGCCAGGCGATAAAGTTTATACTAAACGTTACGGATTACGGATGCTAGGACTTGGTGAGTTTTTGGACTACCGCTCTATTTTTGGGCCGTAGTATCTTGATTTATTTTGCGCGGAAAGCTCCGTAGTTTTGAAGGATGCCTGTCATTCCTAATATGTTGGAGCGCCTTCCATTTCGTATGATACTGTGCAATACCTCTGGTGTGAAATAGTTGCTTCAAGCGCCGTGGCACGCTGCGGCGCGGCGGGCGGGCAGCCAGCGCTAAAAGCGCCCTAGCGCCTACAAACCTAACTGGGATACTTCACGCTAACGCGTGAAGTTTCCCTGTTAGGTTTGTAGGCGCTGGTGCGCGCTTATCGCTGGCAGCACGCCACTCCGCTCTGTGCTATGCTCCAATATAATCTTCCGGAGTCAGCGTTTTTCAACTCATGATTTTGAAATGTTTGCACATCCTGTATGGATTATTCTCATTTTAATTGATGAAAAAAATATGTATTAAAGGAAAATATAACGTGTGTTTTGTGAATATTATGTTGGCTCCGTATCAAACTTAATGATTTCCAAAGCACACGATGTTCTACACAATTTCTTATAGCCTTTTATAGCCGATGGCGATAAAGTGTAAAGCCCGGCGATAGGAACTATAGCCCAGCTGCATACTTTTTTATCGCTTCGTATAGCCCGGCTATATGATTCGCTCCGCTTTCTGCAGCCAGCTATATGATTTTCTATTGCCTTCTTTAGCCGGTTATAAGAATTCCTATGGTATTTTGAAACGCAGCTCCTATCGCCAATTTTTACCAGGGTTGCATTTACTTATGAGAACATTTAATTGTAGAATTGTAAGGTTTTTCTATGCAGTGACCTAGAAAGGTAATTTTGGTTTCAAAATAGGGTATTCTACGTCCCCAAAAATATCAGGAGTGAGCCATGCCGATTTTGAAAATTCTGCATAAAGTGCCTTGAATTAATAAGCAAATTCAAGGTTTATGTTTAGATTCATCTCATTTCAACCTCAAAAGATTTGAAAAAAGAGACAGTTTCCTCTAGACAATAAACCTTTTTGCTTCCAAATAATGTGTATAAAGCGTAATGGCTGCATTCAATTTGTTAACAAATAACCGTCAATGTTGTCTCTGTTTAACTCTAATGAGGGGCTTAAAGTACAAGGTGCATACATGCAGTTTTTGCAGTTTCTACGTTATATTTTTCTAGATTTAGAATTTTTAACACAGGGTATTTCACGAAAGTAACCATAAATCCAAACCGTTAACATAAATCCAAAACTATGCTCAACTTATTTTTTTCCCCAAAATACTACTTTGTGCGTTTCTGTTAAACTCGGTACATTCCGTCACTTGGCTGATAAAAGGGCGTAACAACAATTTTGAATGAGCCCGGGAAAGCATGGAATTGTATGGATGACAGGGTTCATTGCGAAGTGTAGCTACTCCTTTATGTCAGGAGGGCGACAATTTGATCAGATATTTCACGATGCTATCTACTCAAAACTCTATCGTGTGTCTCATATATCATTTAGTTTGCATAAGTTTCATTGGTTAAATCGGTTATTAATTTTTTTCACATTATTGCTTTCAGAATACACCACGAAGTTGATAGAGAAACATCGTAAATGGTTTTTGGAACAGGATGACATTACCGTAAACGATCAATTACGGCGAAAGACGAACAACCATGTCGAAGAAATGAAAGGGTCCTTTCGGAAAATAGAAGTTGACTAAAGATCCTAGCTTAAATTCCACGCATTTCATTTTCTTTGTTCTTTTTCATTTTCCTAGTTTAAAGACGAGAATATTGATTGTATTGTTTTCTTTTAAGGAGAGTGTGAATTATTACCTCTCAAGGAATCAAAGTCGTTGAAACTTCATACTCAAAAGCTGTGATAACGGAGCGATGTTTAAAGTTTTTCATAATTTTTCCAACAATTTGCAAGTCAAATTAGAAATTTAAAAAGAAAACATGTTATAGATTTTTACTCATACTTATCGCTGCTCAAAAATCAATGTGCCATCCACAATCCACATGCCTTAGATTTTACGTAAAAATGTTCAGTCTTCAACCTACCTTGAGTGTTTTCATCATATAGACCAAAATAAACTCATTTGTGTCAAAAATGTCAAAGCTTTCTCCTTTCTTTCATTTTTAATGAGAAAACTCACACCAAGAATGTCACACTGCTCAACTTTTTGAAGGGAAAATGTTGATAGATAAAATAAATATCGGTTGCACTTCCGGAAAAAAATATCCTGAAATACTCTGAATTTAACAAAGATCACAGACCACAAGATGATGAAATTTAATCATTGAAATTACTGCCATCACTCTCTTGTGGATGTGCATCAGAAAGTCTCATTGTATCGCACAAAGAATAATGGAACTACAATTTGTAATTAGGAACTACAATTTCTAGCTCATCCGTAAAAAAAACACTTATATGTATAGGGAAACTAATGGTACATACGTTGTCTCTGTACTGAACTAGAAATTTTAAAGAAATTGCTCCGAAATTCCAAAGAAAAATACAACCCAACAATTTTCGGAATATTTCATGTTTATCTTACAAACATTTAGCAACATCAGAATGTTCGGACGGCGGAATTCCTCGTTTCTCTATGTAAGAGAATATCTCGATTTTCGCATGAGCCCCAGAAGGCGTTGATTAATATGTGGAACAGGGCTCATATAGAAATTTAGATACGCCTTTGCGCCAGAGGAACGACGAGTTAAGGCCTTGACAGCAACAAATACGCGGTGTAGCGCATCAAGCGTGAAATTAGCGTACATTGCTAAAGGAAGGAAGATTTTTCTCACAAAATAGTTGGAACCAACCACTTTTCAGTCGAAATTGGGTTATGAATTTTCAAAATTGCGCAAAGTCATATTTAGGTATTCTTAACGATTTCCCTCTTATCCCCGAAAGATGTGTTTTTGACCGTTCAATTGTGAAGACACATAAAGCATATTTTTTATGGATGTAATTACTGTCTTGTTTTCCAGACAATTACATCAGCGTGGCAACGATCGTGTTTTAGTTCCAACTAACCGCAAAAGACATTGACTTCGTGGCGTCTTCAAGCCAGAGATGTTTACTGCTAATCGTTATGATGTGAATAATTCACTTCCGGCACTTTTTGCAATTTATTTTTAGTGGATTTCCAAGGAATATCACATTAGAAAAACTAATTTTCTGGCGAGCCTGTTTATTCAAATTGCCAAACGGAAATACCAAATTTAAGCCAAAAACATAAGGATCAAAATGAATTGAACACTTCGTCGCCCCTTTGACGTAAGGGAGTATCTCAAATTTTACGTGAGCCCTGTTATACATTTAAATCCATGCTTTCCGGGGCTCATGTGAAAATTGAGATACGTTATATAGTCATATAGGAGCGACCACTTTTGCTCAATGTACTGTGTGTCACCGGATTTGCAAAAAATGGTTTTATCCTCTGCAGGGGGACAATTTTCCTTAACTTTTTGCAAAAGCTTAAAATATTTGTTTTTCTACAGCGAAGGGAATTTCGTTTTAGACCTCATATTACCTTCAGTTTCTGAGTTCTTGGGGCCAAACTTGTGTCATAATTCCATATTGACGGTGAAACTAACAGACCACGTATCTCGTTTGCGGTGTTTAAAAACCTCCACTCACATTTTATTTTTTTGAAGGAGATCAAATTTATATCATGCCTTATAATTTTCACAGATTTTTCTCCGCACCAAGAGGAAAAATCATGGAAGTTTTCACGAATTGACGTTGAGTAGTTTTCTATTTAAAAAATAAAGTATGACAGGAAGTCTGCGACGTCGCAAACCGAGATACGTGGTTTGGTAGTTTCACCGTCGATATTTTCTTCCTTTGTGCATTTGCAGCAAGTTATGAAAAAAATTTTCCGAGAGGTTAAGGGCCCTTTTCATAGATCTGGTCACATTTCGGCGGTAAAACTCCCAAACCACGCGTATCTTTTTGACGATGTTTTATTTTTCGAAGAAAAGCGAATAAAAATCATTCCTTGAGGTTTTCACAGATTTTTTTTTGCACAGAGAACAATAATCATAGAAGTTTTTAAGCATTGACAGTGGGTGGTTTTTCATTTAAAAATTAAGAATGACAGGAAGTCTGCTACGTCGCAAACCGAAATGCATGGTATGGGAGTCTCACCGTGATTTACACCCAGGAAAAAGTAGCATAGACCTAAATTCAATCATTTTTGTGCAGCAGGAGATGGGCTCACGGGGGCAGAGATAATCCCCAATAATCGACAAAGAAATAAGTTATCAGGTCAAAAATTTAAAACGTAGCAATAGATTTAAGCCATTCTAATTCCGACCGATTTAACTTTCACATGGAATTTTTTAAGCTCGAATAATACTTAGTTTCCGTGACTAGAAGGCACTAACCATACATACTAAGATTACGCTAATTTACGCACCTATTTTTTGTCATGCAGCAAACACATGACTCATCTCAATCTCTCTTTTAACTCTCTCTCTCTTCTTTTCTTCCTCCTCTTCATTCTTTCATTCCTTTCTCCATCACCCATCCACTCTCGCTCTAATTACTATTTCTGTCAATAATGGACATTTGCCGAGTATCAGCCTTGGCAAAGAAAAGCCGTTGAACTGATAACCTGAGATTCCCACTGAAGGTCACACGGACTTCTCGTGTGTTACTTTTTCCACACCATCGTCACGGCACCCACAACACTGTAGGATTCATGAAAACGCTGGGTACCTGAGTCTGCAGTAAGGTGCACATTACGGATGTGCAATTGGACGTATTTCTATCAAACGGAACTATGTGCATTAAGACATGAGCCCTGAGACCCATAAGAATGCATGCATAACAGGGCTCACGTCATAATGCACATAGTTCCGTTTGACAGAAATGCGTCCAATTAATGCATTTTTCCTCAGCTATAATTATACGTAATTTTAATAGACGCTTCTGCATCCGCAATATAATAGGACTGAATTTGTTAGTGAGCTTTCCTCCTCATGAAAAGTTTGAAGCGAATATCGTGGATTTTGTAGTTCCTCCATACATCCCTATTAATTTTTGTTGATTCGACCCAAATCTACGAACAGTAAGTACAAATTTATTATTTAAGAGAAGCCGGGATTAGTATGTTAATGCGATAAAACTAGCAGACATTTTCTGTGCGTTCACTTGTCTCTCTTGGAAGTGAATTACATACTATTTTTACATACATCTCTTTGCCATATATTTTTTTATCATCTATTAAATTCAAGTATAGAAGAAAATATACCTGGCACCGAAATTGTTTTTTGAGTTATGACGTAATTTTCTGAGAGGCTAGATTTGTTGACAAAAATCCTCGAATAGATAACTATCGCTGCACGGTGGGTGTTCCTGGTCCCCCTCTAAAATTAAAGGCTAAATATCAATTAGCGTAACCTGCATTCAACCTTTGTTAGAATTCTGTCTCTTTTGAGTTCTTAATCAATTTCCAGATAAGCATCTAATTTATAGGAGATCCAGGCCATTTAAGCCCCGTGTCGTCAGTAAAGGTGGTGCTATCATGAGCTCTCAATCCTCTTGCACCGAAATCGACCTTTATGCAATCAGAGGGCCTCGGAAATGCCTTGCTTTATCCGAATGAAGAAAAATTGACCTCATCCATCCATTTTTGAAATGACCATCGCCGCAAGAACACAATAAAGAGACATAACATTAAACCACACTGAAATAGATTCATTTGGACTAGGTACATTTTGCAACTAGGAACTACAATTTATGGCTCAATTTAAAAACAACGCACACAAATGTTTTACGGATGTGGAGACAGAAATTAAAGTTCTTAATTGCCGTCCATTCTAAAAAAAAGTCCATTTCTCCATGCATTCTAAATAAAGCAAAACTTGGAAGCGCGTATTTTTAGCGGCGTGTATTTTTCCGTGCAGTTTTCCTCTCTTTCCGACCCGAACACGTGTTTTGTGTATATGTGGAGAGTTATACTCGACTGAATAATTTTGCACACGTGATCGGTACAGAAAGGAAGGAAAACCAGTCAAAAACTAAAAATTACTTTGTAAAATGTGCAGAACCAACGTTTTTTTCAACATGAGTCAATATCACCCCTTTGAGGAGTTGTAAAAAACATTTATTGCGAGGATTAGAGTCATTCACATTGGATATTTAAATCTTCCGTTTAATTAAGGTAAGTAACATTTTTTTAAAGAAAAATCAGAAAATTAAACACAAGAACTTGCCAAAATTTCATTTATATCGATTTGATATTGATTATTTTATTGTTTAAAAAGTGTCTTTCATTTGCGTGTAGGACGGTAGTGCATTTGAAAGTTTCAGACAAACAGGTGCAACTGTTCTCTTGTGAACAAACAAAGTGACTAGTGGAATTTGGCAACAGCTCATTTCACTTAGTTCCCTCACAAAGCACACATCCCTAAAACTAAAATTAAGTAATTGATGCAAGTCAGAGGTTATCCTATTTTCTAGTTATGCCACGTGACAGTTCATTATTCTTGAGCAAGTTAAGATGGTGATGATTTCGAACAACGTGTGTTTTGTAGTAGACTATATGAAAAACTGAAATTACAAAATGATAATAATATTCGGAAAATGTCATTTGCAACCTTACAGCACTGGGCTAAACATTTTATCAATCGTATGAGACATTTTGCAAATTATTTTCAAAATTTTCTTTTTCTCGAAATCACGAATATTTTACTCGCCTTAACAAAGGGCTAGAAAAATAATGTCATTTTATTTTGAAATTATTTTGGCTCTTGTCACTTTCGACTTGCAGGGATTTTTTGTTTAAACTGTCTTTATTTGTCTGTAATTAGTCCAAGGAGGGATTAAGGCCCGTCATGTCACCAGCTGAACCAATAAAGGCCACAGAGACTACCCCTCAGCGGCTTGAGGATGGAGTTCAGCAGCTAAAAGTGTGGCTCACCAAACAACCCCACCTTCCGAATGTGGATGACGAGGAATGGCTCGCCACATTCTTGTGCCATTGTAAGCTCAGCGTGGAGAAAGCGAAACACAAATTGGATGGATATTTCAGCGTCAGAAACAAATATCCTCACATACTGAAGAACCGCAACCCTATAGATCCAGAGGTATGTAATTTTTCGATCCTCCAGTAATTTCCATCTCAATCATTTCAATCCGTTAAGTAAGTCAAACGTAGACCGCAGATATGACGCTTGGATGCAACTATAAGTACACAAGAGATGTTTATGTTGCATACAGGCGAAGTTGAAGGCGTTCAGTCTTATTCCTGGCAGTCGATATTGTTTTATGTTAGTGATAAGATGTTCCTCTAAGGTAGGAGACGGAAACTAGATACATGGGTGTTCAATCGGATTGCTCGATGTCGATGGAGCGACAGTTAAATTGTTACGCTCAGGGAAAGCGCTGTATGAACGTTCAAGAGTTGCCAAATTTTCTCCGATAATATTTTATTTTTGAGGAAATTCATGAATATTTTATAATATACGGCGCTATATATCGGCGGCACTCCGATATACAACAACTCTATTGTACTCTATGGATGTCTCAGAGTGATCTGCAGTTTCGGTCAATTTAACCAGAAATTTGGTTGATCTGGTCGAAAAATAGTAACCCAAAGTAGCTACATGTATTAACTTAGAATAACTGACTATGCACCACGGAAAAAGTGTTAGAGGCTATCTCCTAAAATTTCGGTATTACCCCAATTTGTTGGATGATATGGTCATTTCCAATTAATTGTGATGGTACCGCAACATTAGGGTTAGTAACATAATTTTCTGGGATACCCCCACAGTTAATTGGTGTACTACTAGAGTACCTGTACACGGGATAGTATTGCCATCTCAATTCTTTTACTACAGAAAAAGTGTGCCACTCTCTGATTGGTCGGCTATCATGGAGCCCCAAAGTTCGCTAAATGTGAACAAATAAGATGGCGACAAAGTCCTACAAAGTTGTAGACGTGATTTTGGATGTAATATACATTTTTTTATGATCAACTTCTGAAAGGAGTTCGGATCGACCTTTAATGGATATTCTTGCCGAAAATTAATCTTTGAGTGTGATTTTCATTCGTTAAAGCCGATAATACGTATTCCTTCGGGTCAACTTTGGAGCTTCATGATAACCTAAAACTCATGAACCAATCAGAGAGCGACACAGAGATGGCAATACTCTCCCGTATACAGGTACTCTAAGTACTACCATAATTATTGGAAATGTCCATATCATCCAAAATCCCCTACCTCTTCTTTTCTGTAACATCTCCAGATCATCCTCGCGGGCAAGGCCTGCACCATAGCCATCTCGAGCCGGCTCACCACTTCCGGCGCCCGGATCTTCCACTTCAAGGCGAACGGAGACCCGAGCATGTTCGACATCGACGCCCAGGCGAAGCGGGTGTGCATGATCATCGACGCCACGTACCTGGAACGCGACAGACACGTCAACTACGCGTGTGTCTTCGACCTGCGCAACATACACTACTCGTACTTCCTCAAGACTCTGACGCGCTTCCCTCAGGTGATCGACATCCTCCTCAGAGGCTACTCGGACCGGATCGTCTCCTTCAACGGTATCAACGCCCCGCCGTTCATCGGGAAGGTCGTAAGCACGTTCAAGAAATACCTCCCGCAGAAGATCGGCAACAGGATTCACATTCACGAAGAGGTTTCCCAATTACTGGAGTGTGAGTGGGTAGACGCGGAGGTTCTTGCCAAGGAGTTCGGCGGCCAGGGGTCCAGTCTCAATGAATACGACGGTAAGTTCTGCCGTGCTAAGGAAGAACGCCGTATGAACCTTCAGGCGTTGCAACATTTCCCTTATTGAAACATGTATTTTTGACGACGTTCATGTATATTTTTCCTCGAAATTGTCGGAGATTTTGGATTAAATTGCGTACAAAATTGTCTGGAAATTTTGGAAACAAATATTCACAATTCGTCTGGTAAATTCGGTCTTTACCGAAGGAGACTTGGCAACGTCTGAAGGCTCATACGGCGTTCTTCCTTAGTACGGCAGAGTTATATGGTGAGAAAAGAGTAATGATGGATCCAGAGGGTAAAAATGCTTCCATTCAACACAAAGGCTTCTCCCCAACATTTAGCTCAAAGGGAAAAGTGGAGAACTTTTTGAGGTTCAAGATTTGATCAGGATATTTGGACATCATTTTGCAATAAGAAACCACTACTTCTGGCTCATTTTAGAAACAACATATATGCTATTAGTTTCCCTACGCAGATGGGCGCTTTTACAGAGGAGCCAGAGATAGTGGTTCCTTACTACAAAATGTAATCCATTTAAGAATTAAAGCTGAGAATTGCAATCTTTCGGATAGTGTTCATTTTCTTAAACGCTTTCAGCTTACTTTAAAAAACGGCTATTGTCCAACACATTCTCTGGGATGTGTTTTAAGCCAGTGAAAAAGCCCGACGAATAATTTTGAATTCCTGAGATTCCAGAATTTAATTATCGATTTGAGCTGAAATCGTTTTTACGAGCGACTAGGCAGGCCCCGTAAGGTATGAACGGGTGCGGCTGAAAATCTGAAAATTAGTCTAAATGGCAAGTTGTGCATTTATTGGAAGCGAGCAACTTTTAGCGTAATTTGATTAGCACAGTTTTCCTCAAAGAATTTCCCAAATACTCTTTTTTATGTTAAAATAAAATTCTTTATCAACACGCGAGATGCGATTTTCTAATTATCTGGTTTACTCTTCAATGTAGCCACATTAGCAACCGTAAACAATGGTACTCATTGCGGATCGCTTTTTCACCGACGGAAATGGCAAGCGAGGAACAAAGGCTTGCCGCTAAAGGTCTGAAAATAATGGATCCAAGGACACAACTTTTTGCAAGATTTCACGTGATAAGCACAGTTCCTCCCAAAATAGTTTTTACAAATCCTCCTCCCCCCCCCCTAACTTTACCACATTCGCAGCGATGAGGAGTCGCAATTCGTGGAAATCGCATTTATTGCCAAGCGAAGTTTCAGGCAAAGCACAAATGCATGCCGTTAAATATCTAAAAATCTCTCGCGAGGTTCAGCATGGTCAAATTTTTAACTCAATGTCTCAATGCATCTAGCAGCTTGTCGACGGTGAAACTACCAAACCACGTATCTCGTTTGTAATTTTTAAAATTCTTTGCTCCCAATTTTTTTAAGGAGTTAATTTTTTTTTTGTTTTTAAGGAGAAAAACCAGTATGATTCTTTGAAGTTTCCATAGAGCTTTTTTAGGACAGCGAAGACCGATCAGTAATTTTCCGTTTAAATATAAAGTATGGCAGGAAGTCTGCAACGTCGCAAACCGAGATACGTGATCTGGTAGTTTCACAGTGACTTCGTTTGTCAGGACGCCTACTTTTCTGCGATACGTTAAAGTCTCTGAGGTGATTCCTGTACTTAGCAATCATGGCGATCCCTCGTGCTAATTACACAGAAACATGCAAAAATTTGTGTCCGTGGATAAATTTTCAAATCTTGGGCGGCAAGTGTCTGTGCCCCGCATGGCATCTCAATCTGCGCACAGTGGATCGAGTCAATTGGAGAGATCGGACATGAAATTCTTGACAATAACTGCGAATTTTGATGTCTATTTCGTTACATTTTAAAGTTTAATGGGTACAATAAGAAGATTATTTCACGAGAAAACCAATGGTACCACTTTTAGCACCTCAAAATTTTGTATAAACGGAGTCATACGCGTTTAAAGTTTCCAAATTTTGTCTGACCTCTCCTATTGACTCGATCCACTGTGCGGCGGACGCGTGACACGTGACTCGTAAAACCCCACCAACCACCAGCACCATCCACTATCTACTCCCAACCGTGAATTTATAAATTCTCATCTTTTTACAGAGTTTACCAAACGCCTTTTGGACAAGCACGCAGGGTGGTTTGCAGATCAGGAGTCCATTTGTTCGAACGAAGAGCTCCGACCGAAAGACAGGAACAATCCGGGACAACTCCAAGGCTCCTTCAGAAAATTGGAAGTCGATTAATTGATTTTTTTAACCAAATCCTATATACATTGTAAATATTTATGAGGAAAAAAAACACTAAAAAGTGTCCGGAAATTGTATGTTATAACAAGGTGGAGAAATTGTGTTTGGTCGACTCCATTTCGCGGGAATATCATCTTAATATTCCAATGTAAACTGCCTGAGCTGAACACTCTCCCCCCTCAGTTTTGTACTGATACTCATTAGAGTTGAATAAAATTATTTTTGACTCTAATTATAATTTTTGGAACTTCTTGGCTTTTTTCCCCGCGAAATGGTGTGGATCCAGCACCATTTCTCCACCTTGTAAATATTATTGATAAGGTTTAGTTTCGTTGAGGTTGAAGTTGAATAAAACGTTGAAGATTAACTTCATTCTCTTCACTGAGAGATCTATGTACAGTTTGTGTCTCATAATTTTTGTATTATCACAAGTACATTGCATAATCTCGAACAGCGAGTATTTCTTTCTTCCTCATTTACTGCTCGTAACATAACCTCTGAGTCTTTTCTTTTTTATTTTGATAAGATTTAATAAATTTAATTCCTAAAGTATTTGGCTATCTTATGACTTACACTCAAGGCCACAGACGTTTTGTCTGTTATTTTTCTTACATCATCACAGTGTCATATTTTCGACTCATAATAATATGCAAATGTTCACTATCTCCGGGATTGCCTAACTCTGATGGACCATGTTGACAGTGCAATTAGAGTCATATTTTCGGCTTTAATGTTTACGTAAATTTAAAAAGTGAAATTTTATGCATTCATTCATCCACAGTAGGAGGCTGGTTGTGTCAGTGAACTTTCATTCTCATATAAATCGTCACGCTACGAAAGTGCATTCTGTCGTTTTACTGCTCTACCCTTTTTAAAGTTTTGCTGTTCCACACAAATATTCGTAAGTAAAATAATATAAATTTTCCAAAGACTTCAGAAACTTTTTTTTATAGATAGAATATCAATGACTATGGTATTAATTCTAAAGTATTCAATAACTTTAAATTTTATCATCGCAGAGCTTTTTTAACAACCGCGATATAAGAAAATATATCGATTGGTAAGTTCGATCATGTTTTTTTGTCACTTTTGAATGCTACAAATTCATTGAAATGAAAAATTTAACCGATTCAACGATTTTTAAGATAAGTAGAATCTCTCGAAACCCTCAAATTGGGAGTTTTTGTCCATGGACGCCCGGCATTTTCATGATGTTAATGCGATTTCAAAGATTAAGAGGACGATATTTTTTTTAAAATACTTAAATAATTTGAAATAAGTCACTCCCAGCTTGCTTTAACATTTCGCAAAGGCAGTCAAAGCGGCATTTTGAACGTCATTTGAACGTATTATAATCAAAATGAACGATGTCCATTCCGACATGAGTCCTGAGATCCCCAGGAATGCATGCATGACAGGGGTCATGTTAGAATGGACATGGTTCCTTTTTATTTAAATGCGTCTATTTCATTCACAGCAATACCAATGAATGACGCAGAGGCAACTCCACAGCGACTGAAGGAGGGTGTCCAACACCTCAAAGAATGGCTGGCCAAACAACCGCACCTTCCAAACGTGGATGACGAGGAATGGCTCGCTACCTTTTTGTGTCAATGTAAGCTTAGCCTGGAGAAAGCGAAGTCTAAACTAGATGGCTATTTCAGTTACAGAAACAAATATCCTCAGCTTCTCAAAAATCGGAACCCTTTTGCTCCAGAGGTACATAATTTCTTTGAATTTTCTAAGGAAATAGTTTGGTTGGATGCACAAAAAAACCCCGAATCACCACATTGACAATGAAATTGCGAAAACGCCTAGCCACGTTAGCGTCTTTCATGAAATCTCCCCTCCTAGTTTATATTATTTAAAGAGAATGAAGGAACACTATATTGGTTGATATTTTCACAACATATTTCTCACACAGAAGCAAATTCAAGCATGTTTGCACGAAATGGTGTTTAGTATTTTTCCATTTAGGACATAAATTCGTCGCCTGCCTGACATAAGGGCGTGACAACTCTCTGCAATGAACCCTTTCTTCCATACAATTCAATGCATTTCCGGGCTCATCTCAATGTGTAGTTACGCCCTTATGTCAGCCAAGCGACGAATTATGACATGCCGCAAATCGATGGTATGCGTTCTTGGAATGTGATCGTCTGTATACAGTATTACTTATAACGTAACTAAAAGAATTATCGGTTAATTTAAATTAGATCCAAACGATCTTTACAACTCAAATAGTTCAAGTCTGTTTCATTGTGCCAATCAACCGCACACGATGCTTGGATGCAACTTTAAATGATTGGCGGGTGTGCGTGTTGCATAAGATCAACTTTGAAGGCGCTGCGCCATATCCCGTCGTATTGATGCTAAATTAGGTTAGTGGCGAGATGTTTCTTCGAGGCACCAGGTAAAAATTTGAAATAAAGGTGTCAAGTTAGATTTTTTTGTTTCCGGTCAGTTTTAATTGCGCTCAGCTTGTTTCGTCGGCTTTTATATAGCGTTATCTTCATTAAGAACTCGAAATCGTCAATTTCAAAATTGGCTTTCTTGGAAAATTTTCCCTAGAGTGCCATACAAAGATAGGGAGCAAATACATTGTCAGGGCCGCCACTTTATTTGGGGACTCTAAAACTGAAAACATGGCAGCCCTGTGAATGTATTTGCTCCCTATCTTCGCATGGAGAGTTTGTCATGATGTAGACGTGGACTCTCGGGATAGCGTGGGATATTCCCTCCATTTTTGCCTCCACTACAGAGCTATTTTTAAGCTTGGGAGTTTATTTAAGAGAAAACCAGTGGCACCATCGTGTTTCTCGCGAACTTTTACAAAATAATCAACAGTCGTATCGCAATTTCCTCACACATGGAACATCTCCATTATTTTCCAGATCACGTAAGCGCTAAACTCTATTTTGGTGGCAGAGGGGTTCATCGGCGGAATCAGCGATTTGGCGACACCGAATTCTCTCCATTTAAACCTATGGAAATGTATCGATTTTTGGGGGGCCAGGTGCTCCGATAAGAATCGATTATTTAGCATAGGTTTAAATTGAGGAAATTCAGCGTCGCCAGGTTGCTGGATCTGCCTCTGGATGGGTTGCTTCTTCTTGGATTTCTCCGGTATAGTCAATCATGTCTGATTTCAAAATAGCCTTCTAAAAGAACATACATTTTTGGAATGCAAATATTGTTTTCTCTTTTCTTGAATATTTACTTCCTTACACATGCAACAGATGCATGTCCATGTTCTTACCCTATTCTCTTTCACTTGAAGATCGCCCAGGCGAGGAAGGCCTACACGATGGCCGCTTCGACGCGGCTCACAAAATCCAGCTCCCGGATCCTCCACTTCCGTCCGAACGGGGACACGTCCATCTACGACGTCGACGCCGTCATCAAGCGGATGTTCATGATCATCGACGCCGCGTACCTGGAGCACGACCGTCACTTCAACTACGTCATCGTCTTCGACCTGCGCACCACCAACTACACGTACTTCCTCAAGTCGCTCCACCGTATCCCGCACATGGTCGACATCTTCCTCAACGCGTACACGGAGCGCGTCGTCGCCTTCAACGTCATTAACGGGCCCCCGGTCGTGAACCTGATCGTCAAGACGTTCAAGCAGTACCTCCCGGAGAAATTGGCCGAGCGGGTCTACGTCCATGAGCACGTCTCGGATCTGCTCGAGTGTAAGTGGGTGGACCCGGACGTTCTTAGCGAGGATTTCGGCGGGAATGGGCCCAGTCTCAAAGAATATGATGGTGAGTTTTCGAATCTTCTTGGGGATATATAAACTTAAAAAATCATTATTTGCAACCATTTTTGAGGAATGAAGTGTGAATGCTTGATTACTAATTGCTCCCCATTTGAAGCTATGATGGAAGATCGATTATTGAGGTATCCGTTGCGAACACCCTGCATGTTTATCGATCATTTTCCATAGGTTTAACCCTTAGATGACTAACCGGGTCTACGAGGCCCGGTGGATTTTTATTTTTCGCGCCGCAGCGGTTGTAATTGACTGAGGAGTCGGTCCTTCACAAATAGCTCTACAAAAACCCTTAAAAACATAATTCTTGAAAAAAAATTTTTGATTTTTGTTTTGTTTTAGGCACAGCGTTTTTTGTTCATGTTTACCCCTAGAATTACTAGGCCCTGACGAGCCTGTGAGACCCGGGTTAGGCATTCGTGTAGGTAAAAACGGTTAGCCATCCAAGGGTTAAACGGCAGATTTATCGATTTATCGCAAAGCACGCCACGCCAATAATGGGGATAAACTTTAAAAAAAAAATCAAAAACATTCTTTTGACCGACTGATTGACCTAAAGTTTTGAGGGTCTTTGACACCTCCGCTGAAACGCTTATGCGGCTTTAATTCATGTGTTTATGAACTTTCCTCTTTTTATAGAGTTCACCGCATCGAGTTTGGAGAAACACGCTGCGTGGTTCGCCGAGCAGGACTTCATTTGCTCGAACGAGGAACTCCGGAGGAAGGAAGACAACGATCCAGAACAGCTCCAGGGCTCTTTCAGGAAATTGGAGGTCGACTGATTCCCTTTTACATTGCAAACATTAGGTTCCTAAAAATTGAGTATGTTTCCCGCGAAAGATTGCGTTTGTCATCTACTTTTTTTGTTTTCGCCCGAAGATCGATTTACGATTGATGTGATGTATAATTTTTGTATATGCATTAATAATTTTATGAATAAATTTCATTTACTTTGATTTACTTTCATTACTACTACTTTCATTTACTTGACGCAACATTATATAACCAGAATATAAGAGGAAAAAACCAAGAAGCACGCAATCTTTTATTTTAGCCCATTTGTAAATCGATCTTTAAGAGTCAAATCCGTCCAGTTTTGAGCATTTAGTTGCGCGTACACCACGCTGCAGCACATTAAAAGCACAAAATGTAAAATAAAAAATAAGAGTGCTTTGGAAATCATCACATTTGAAACGAAAGCATCTAAATATTTACAAAACTCACATTGAGTTTTTCTTTGATACCCATTTTTTTTTCATTAATTTTGATGAGAATAATCCATGCAGAGTGTGCAACCCTTTCAAAATCATGAGTCGAAAAACGCTGACTCAGTGAGTTTAAATATTTGAGTCAAACACAGCGGAGAGGCGTGCTGCCAGCACTACACGCGCATTGGCGCCTACAAACCTAACAGGGATACTTCACGCATTGCGCAATGCGTGAGGTATCCCTGTTAGGTTTGTAGGCGTCAATGCGCGTGTAGTGCTGGACGCTCTCGCCCGCCGCGCCGCGGCGGCGCTTCAAGCAACTGTTTCGCAACCAAGGTTTTGCACAGTACCATACGAAATTGAAGGCGCTCCAACATATTAAATATGACAGCCATACTTTAATATTACGGGCTTTCCTCGCAAAATAAATCAAGATACTACGGCACAAAAAGAGATTGGCTGTCCAAAAACTTACCAAGTCCTACCATCCATATTTAATAACTTTTAGAATAATTTTTGAATTTCATTGGAGAAAATAAAGTAAATTGATTTAGGCCAAAACATTTTTAAGTATGCCGTAACGAAGAGTTCATTTTGAACCAAGAATAAAATTGCTGAATGAAAGCGGGTTTCTGCTTGATGTAAGTGTCTTTTCTTTATATGTAAGTATCTCTTTCTCTTTAAACAAGCACTATTTTCTTTATTATAATTCATAACGAAATCGTCTCTGCGGTAAATTTAAGCATATCTCTGTTAGAATCAAGTCACTTTTTCCGCTAATGAAGTGAAAAAATTATGCTAAACGTTGTTGAACACAGATCCTAGGACTTAATAACTACCGTTCTTTTTTTGTTGTCATCACTCGATTTAATTTGCGAAGCAATTTCGTACTTTTGGAAGATGCCATCAATCATAATAAGTTGGGGTGCCTTCAATCTCGTATGATACTATGCAACACCTCTGTGGCAAAATAGTAGCGAAGCACCGTGGTAAGACGCGCTGGTGCCGCGCCGTCGCGAAGTTATCGTGCACAGGAAAAAGCCTTTAGCTGAGGCGAATCAAAAGGTTTATCCTCGAGGTTCAGGTATAACAAAATGGGATTTCCTTGAAAAATAATTTAGTCCTGTTGCACCAAAGAGGGGTAGAGAGTTTTTCCTCAAAGAATTGACGCTCCCCCATTTTAACCAAAAATTCCTATTATATATTTTTCTCCGTAGGACCAAACAAACCAAGAAAAATCAAGCAAACCCTCATTTTTCCAAGACATTATACATTTTCATCCTAAAAACTCGTAAGCCAATATCGTTTGTATTTACTTGTGTACCAATTAACTTGGGTCTCAATCGGTAAATGGACCGAAATTCCCCTGCCGAAAAAACGCGTGGAAGTAAACTACTGGACAAAACAAGTGCGCGGACAAATAATCGTTGACGAAATGTCCTATAACCCAATTTTCCCAGTAAATCCCGTTTTTAGCGAAGGAGACTTGGCAACGTCTGAAGGCTCATACGGCGTTCTGCCTTAGTACGGCAGAGTTATATTGTGAGAAAAGAGTAATGATGGATCCAGAGGGTAAAATTGCTTCCATTCAACACAAAGGCTGCTCCCAAACATTTAGCTCAAAAGGAAAAGTGGAGAACTTTTTGAGGTTCAGAAATTCATCGGGATATTGAAGAATTAAAGCTGAAAATTGCAATCTTTCGGATAGTGTTCATTTTCATAAACGCTTTTCGCTTACTTTAAAAAAAACGGCTTTTGTCCAACACATTCTTTGGGATGTGTTTTAAGCCAGTGAAAAAGCCCGACGAATAATTTTGAATTCCTGAGATTCCAGAATTTAATTATCGATTTGAGCTGAAATCGTATTTTCGAGAGACTAGGCAGGTCCCGTAAGGTATGAACGCGTGCGGCTAAAAATCTGAAAATTAGTCTAAATGGCAAGTTTTGCATTTATTGGAAGCGAGCAACTTTTAACGTAATTTGATCAGCACAGTTTTCCTCAAATAATTTCCCGAATACTCTTTCTTATGTTAAAATAAATTCTTTATCATCACGCGAGATGCGATTTTCTAATTATCTGTTTTACACTTCAATGTAGCCACATCCGCAACCGAAACCGCATACAGTGCGGTACTCATTGCGAATCGCTTTTTTACTGACGGATATGGCAAGCGATACACAAAGGCTTGCCGCAAAAGATCTGAAGATTTATCCAAGGACACACATTTTTGCAAGATTTCACGTGATAAGCACAGTTCCTCCCAAAATAGTTTTTACATGCAGATCCTCCCCTCCCCCTCCGAAACTTTGCCACATTCGCAGCGATGAAGAGTCGCGTTTATTGTCAAGTGAAGTTACAGGTAAAGCACAATTGCATGCCGTCAAATATCTGAAAATGTCTCAGGTGGTTTAGCATAGTCAAATTTTTAACTAAATGTCTCCGTGCATCAAGTAGCCTGCCTGACGGTGAAGCTACCGAACCACGTATCTCGTTGACAATGTTTAAAAATCTCCGCTCCCATTATTGTCATGGGAACGGAGTTCCCCATGATATTAGAATCGTTCCGTTGCTTTCGCTATGGGATTCCCTATACCTCTGCGACCTTGAGCGTTTCGCCCAGTCTCCGATTTTTGGTTGATTTTCTGATGTATCAAAAACCGTTGTATTTTTTAGCCAATCATGTCTCTACGTCAAGTTGTGTTGATTGCTAAAATTCGCTTTCAGCGAGTTTTTTTCCACCTTGAGATGTCGTGTCTGACTGGTAAATCTGCGCAGAACCACGAAGTTCCGTTTTTAGGCAAATTCTTTTTTTTGGGAGGTTCCGATTGGTTATTTTTCGCCATCAGTTTTCTGTTCGTTGGTGCAAAAGATCGCCTACCTCGTTGCTCTTGAGAAGCCGCCATTATCCCACCTCAAATTTTAAACATAGATATAAAGAAATAATAACCATCGTACAAGGTGGAAAATTGCTTTGGAGGACCCGTTACGGATATATGAGCCAAAATCAGAACTCGATTGATGGATTTAATCCATGAATACAGAAATATTGCCTCAGTTTACTGCCGCGATAGCAAATGCATGGTAAGATGAACCTTGTGACACATGAAAGCATAGGCAAACAATGTCTCACAGAGAAATGCGCTTAGCTCATTTCTCTCATAAGCAACAATGCGTGAAGGTCTCTTCTGATAAGTCCCGCCCATTGCCCGAGTCTTTTGTATGCTATTTTTACTCTATCCCACGTCGATCCGTTATCGCCTAGTTGACTAAACCGCCGCAATTTTTTGTTAAAGTGCGGGCAATACGCAATCGGGAGTTCGATACCCGACGATAGGTGTTACTTTTTAATGGTTGTATTGAATGTTTTAGACTAATCATCAAAAAATAATTAATACTAGATGATAAATGTACGAACATTTTCTCGTGAGTTAATATGTTAAACAAAAATACTGGAATATACCTCCTTCATTTAATCAGCCACATGTTCCCCCAAATTAATGACGTTATTTTCTTTTTTCAATAAAGTTAATTTGCATTCAACGTTCGTAAGTTAAGCAAAAAGTACCTATTGATACGAATAGAAAGACATGAAAATAGTATGTCTAACATTTCAGTTTTTTTTTTTTTTTTTTTTTTTTTTTTTTGTTTTTTCAATAAAACAAATTGACTGGGACTAGAATCATCGTATCTCTGAAGACAAAAGCTAAGTTTTTTGATACAGAAATACTAATATATTCATCCTTTATATAATCAGGGAGATGTTGACCCAAATATTGATGTATATTTTCTCTGTTCGCCCAAATTAATGATGGTATTTTCTTTTTTCAATAAAATTAATTTACATTCCACGTTCTTAAAGCAATGTTTTCTCCAAAATTCAGAAAAAAATAACAATTTATACCTACGCAAAAAGTAAATAAATAAATAAATAAAGCAATGACATGAAAGTAGTATAGGTAGTACACATCTAACATTTCAGTTACATCTATTTGAATGAAAAACAAGCTGCTGGTTCCAACACTACTGTGTTGGAGAGCTCGCCTTCGTGAAACTATTAACATGACAAATTTTTCACACCGCAATAAATAAACTGAATCATTAATATAACAGAAGATAAGAGTGAGATAAGACAAAATACAATAGAAAAATGGTACAACGAAATTTATTGTAAAGTTGACAGGGAAAGATGAACTAGGACAATTATTGGCAATAAATTTTATTAGTGAATGTACATGGGGCATGGTGTTTCTGATTACTATCTGACACAGTTCCTGACAGTTTTGATGCCTTATTCAGCTAGATGTTGTTTCCACAAATTTATCAAATTATAATGCACGTCCACTTGTATATATTTATTTTTTTTTTATTTTTATATTTGCATATATACAGGTGAATGGTCACTGAATTCAGTGTAATAGTATCGTTTTTGAAGCGGGAAGCTCAAAAAAACGCAAATTTCTTACGCAGATTGTGAAGTTATGAGTGCATTTCAGAGTTTTCCGATGCGCTCATCGTGATTTTTGAGGCATTATCTATAGGAAACAACTCTTATTTTTGCTCTAGCAAAAGTTTGCAACAGGCCCATTATTAGTCAATGTAACGCATATTTGCTCTGGTTATAAAATGTAAAACTCGGCAAAAGACGTACATCAACAAAAATTCTGTGACCAGCGCATTATCAGATCCAAAAATTTGGCAACATTGTTCTTTCCTCATTTAAACATATGTAAATGTATCGATTCCAGGAGGGGCCAAGTGCTCCGCCAAGAATCGATTATTCAACACAGGTTTAAATGGAAGGAAGGCAGTGTTGCCAAATTGCTAAATAGTAGCCCATTAATATGAGTACATATTACCTTGTACAATCTAATTTTTCAACAAAACTCAACACGAGTCTTTCACATAACAAGTAAATTTGAATCTGTAAACTATAAACCTTCTTTTCCTGCGGACAATCATGTGTAAAATTCTATCACATTTATTCTTCGTCTTTCACAAAATTATTAAGATTTATCTGGAAAGTAAGTATAGTACTTCGTAAAAAATAGGAAGAAAATAAATGAGTTCAAAAAGCAGTACCTGGTTTGTAGAGCGTCTCTTCATTTTATCGGAAATAGAAAAATTCAGGATGTCACTGTCTCATCGGAAAAGAAGGATTTTCCATTACACTCTGTAACCGAGGAAACTGGAAGATGCTCTAATAAGATAGCATAGAGATAGCAGTCAGCTGATAATTTTATCGCAACGGAACAGCAAAAAAATAGGACTTCAGTTTTTGAAAATGTGAACGGAAAATAATACATATAAATAATTTAGCATAAAGGTGAACACATACACAAACAAATTCGTGTTGGTGTGAGTCAAGTCTGCTCGGCCACCGGAAAGTGATGCTCTCTAGTGTAGCAAACGAGGAACAATTAATCCTCAGTTGAATGAGGGAACGGAAATGTTCGACGGAGGAAAACTGTAACCCGCGAAAATTCAACTTTTAGACCTTGAAATCAATGGGATTTTGGCCGTTCCTCCGACGGCAACGAGAACCATCCATTTGTCGCCACGGACACTACCAATGCTAAAAGAAATCGATCGCAAAGAGCTCTCCCGAGTGGGCGAGCTCAAAATGGGAACTTAGGAAGCACATAGGTCACTTATGATGCGTATTTGGGCATATGCGTAGAGTAAAAATATCATACTTTACGCCGAAAAAACGAAACTGAAAGTTAAATGCGTTAACTTCCAAAAACCATACATAATCCAACGAAAATAAATAATTGGTTAATAACAGCTTTCTTGTATGCAAAGAAAAAAAATTAAAAATGTTAAAAAAGAGATGTCGACACAAAATTACATAGCCCCTTCAATTCTGAAGATACTACAAACGAACTGTACCTTAACATTTTCATATCCCAGAAGCAAAAGTTCCCATGACGAATATTGCTATCGCTAGCGATTGCAAAAACCAACTTGTTTTTTTTTTTTTTTAAATTAATATGATTCCTCGAAGTTTTTCCATAGAGTTTTATTCGGACAGGTAAGACATTTTTTCTTTTCTCTTTTTTAGAGAGAACAAATCAGTATGATTCCTTAAGGTTTTCACAGAGTTGTTTAGGATAGAAAAGATAAATCACGGAAGTGTTCAAAAATTGAAGTGGAGTAATTTTCCGTTTAAAAAAAAAAAGTATGGCAAGAATTTTGTAACGTCGCAAACCGATATTGGTGGTCTGGTAGAGTCACCGTCACTATGCGTTTGTCGGCACGCCTACTTTTCTGCGATGCGTCAAAGTCTCTGAGGTGATTCCTGTATTTTGCGATCTTGGCGATCCCTTGTGCTAATCACCTAGAAGCACGTTAAAATTTGTGTCCATGGATGAATTTTCAAATCTTGGGCGGCAAGTGTCTGTGCCCCGCATGCGATATCAATCTGCGCACAGTGGATCGAGTCAATTAGAGAAGTTGGCTATGAAATTTTTGACAAGAACTGCGAATTTCGATGTTTATTTCGTCACATTTTAAAGTTAGAAGGGAGCCACGAGAAGAAAATTTAACGAGGAAACCAATGGAACCACTTTTAGAACCTCAAAATTTTGTATAAACGGAGTTATAAGGGTTTAAAGTTTCCAAATTTTGTCCGACCTAGAGAGGCCGGACAAAAGACTCGATCCACTGTTCGGCCGACGCGTGACACGTGACTCGTAAAACCCCTTCAATCACAAACTATCATCCATACCACCACCACTACCATCCATTATCCACTCCCAACCATGAATTTACAAATTCCTATCTTTTTATAGAGTTTACCAAACGCCTGCCTTCTGGAGAAGCGCGCGGGATGGTTCGCAGATCAGGAGTCCATTTGTTCGAACGAAGAGCTCCTACCGAAAGATAGGAACAATCCGGAACAACTCCAAGGTTCAATCAGAAAATTGGAAGTCGATTAATTGACTTTCTTTAACCAAATCCGATATACTTTGTAAATTCTCATTGATAGCTTTTAGTTTTGTTGAAGTTGAAGTTGAATAAAACCAGGAAGATTAACATCATCCTCTTCACTGAGAGCTCTATGTACAGTTTGTGTCTCATAATTTTTGTATAATCACAAGTGCATCGTATAATCTCGAACAGCAAGTATTTCTTTTTTCCCTATTCACTGCTCGTAACGTAACCTCTAAATCTCTTCTTTTTCCTTTTGATAACATTTAATAAATTTAATTCCTAAAGTATTTGGGTATCTTATGAATTACACTCGAGGCCACAGACGTCTAGTCTGTTATTTTTCTTACATCATCACAGTGTCATATTTCCGACTCATTTAAATGCACATGTTCTCTATCTCCGCGATCGCCTAATTCCGATGGGCTATTTTGACAGTGCACTTAGAGTCATAGTTCGGACTTTAATGTTTACATAAATTTAAAAAGTGAAATTTTATGCATTCATTCATCCACATTAGGAGGCTGGTTGTGTCGGTGAACATCCATTCTCATATAAATTGTCACGCTTCGAAAGTGAGTTCTTTCGTTTTACTGCTCTACCCTTTTTAAACTCTTGCTGTTCCACACAAATATTCGTAAGTAAAAAATTATAAATTTTCCAAAGACTTCAGAAACTAATTTTTTTATAGATATAGGATATCAATGACTTTATAAACACTTCCAAAGTATTCAATAATTTTAAATTTTATCATCGCAGAGCTTTTTTAACAACCGCAACGTAAGAAAATATATCGATTGGTAAGTTCGATTATGTTTTTTGTCCATTTTGATTGCTACAAATTCATTGAAATGTAAGATTTAATCGACTCAACGAATTTTAAGACAAGTAGAATCTTTCACTCTCGAAACCCTCAAATTGGAAGTTTTTGTCCACGGACGTCTGGCATTTGTATGATGTCAATGCGTTTTCAAAGATTGAGAGGACTATTTTTTTAAAAAAATAATTAAATTATTTGAAATGAGTCACTTCCAACTTGCTTTAACATTCCTCAAAGGCAGCAAAAGCGGCATTTTGAACGTCATTTGAACGTATTATAATCAAAATGAACGATGTCCATTCCGACATGGGCCCTGAGATCCCTAGGAGTGCATGCATGACAGTGGTCATGTTAGAATGGACATGGTTCCTTTTTATTTAAAATGCGTTCATTTCATTCACAGCAATACAATGAATGACACAGAGGCAACTCCACAGCGACTGAAGGAGGGTGTCCAACACCTTAAAGAATGGCTGGCCAAACAACCGCACCTCCCGAACGTGGATGACGAGGAATGGCTCGCTACCTTTTTGTGTCAATGTAAGCTTAGCCTGGAGAAAGCGAAGTCTAAACTAGATGGCTATTTCAGTTACAGAAACAAATATCCTCAGCTTCTCAAAAATCGGAACCCTTTTTCTCCAGAGGTACATAATTTCTTTGAATTTTCTAAGGAAATAGTTTGGTTGGATGCACAAAAAACCCCGAATCACCACATTGACAATGAAATTGCGAAAACGCCTAGCCTCGTTAGCGACTTTTATGAAATCTCCGCTTCTAGTTTATTTAATCAAAAGAGAATGAAGGAACACTATATTGGTTGAAATTTTCACAAAATATTTCTCACACAGAAGCAAATTCAAGCATGTTTTCACGGAATGATGTTAAGTATTTTTCCATTTCGAACATAAATTCGTCGTCTGCCTGACGTAAGGGCGTAACAACTTTCTGCAATGAACCCTTTCCTCTATACAATGCAATGCATTTCCGGGCTCATCTCAACGTGTAGTTACGCCCTTATGTCAGCCAAGCGACGAATTATGACATTCCGCAAATCGATGATATGCATTTTTGCAATGTGACCGTCTATATACAGTATTACTTATAACGTAACTAAAAGAATTATCGGTTAATTTAAATTAGATCGAAACGATCTATACAACTCAAATAGCTTAAGTCTGTTTCACTGTGCCAGTCAACCGCACACAATGCTTGGATGCAACTTTAAATGATTGGCGGGTGTGCGTGTTGCATACAGATCAAAATTGAAGGCGCCGCACCGTATCCCGTCGTATAAATGCTGATTTAGATTCGTGGCGAGATTTCTCTTTGAGACAGGAGGTGAAAATTTGAAATAAGGGTGTCAAGTTAGATTTTTTGATGCGTTATAATTACTCTTAGCTTGTTTTGCAGGATTTTGAATAGCATTATCCCTGTTGAAATCTCGAAATCGTCAATTTAAAAATTTGTCCTATTTTGGTTTTCTTGGAAAGTTTTCCCCAATGTGGGGAAGGTAGAAACATACCGGTAATTTTGAGGTCAGCTCATGGAATTATTAAGTACTAACTTTAACTTAATTTTAAGTGTTCTTTCTACTCTTAATTTGTAAAGCATATATTTAACTTAGTTTTTGCTTGAATTTGCTCATTTTTACGGAAGGGCGAGATATTCAATTTCGGATTTTTTTTCCTCGATTTGGCTCTTTTGGAAAGTTTCCTCCTGGAGGTTAAGGTCCCTTTTCATTGATCTAATCAAACTTAGACCACGTGAAGTAAAATGGAACCAAGCCACATCAGCTATTACCAAATTTATTTGGGCAATTAAAGTTTTTACATGAAAACAGTTGTGCGGGTTCTTGTGCAAAGCACGAAGCAAATTCCTTAAAATTTTCAAAGAAATTCGCACAAACGTTTTATAGTCAGAAATTAAATGGCTCAGTTAAATTTGGCAATAGCTGATCTGCGGGCCGATGCTTGAAATTGATAGACAAAGCTATACACAAAAAAGACAGCAGAGATATGGAGGGATCTTATTGGTGGAGGCGGATGGTTGCAATAGACAAAGGAGGTAGGTATTGTACGGTAGGTATTTTTAGGTAGGTAACTAACAATAATCCACGAGAGACACCACGGTCCATAATTTTTTCCGCACAGATTTCAGTTAATAGGATCGCTCCATACTCCTCATGTCTTCTTTATCTATAGCTCTGTACATCAAGTTCAATAATCAGCCCGCTAGCTTGGTTCCTTCCTGTTAGACGCGATCTATTTATATGTATAAAGCCGCTTTACAACGCACTGTGGCGTTCTGCGATGCCCAAACGCCACAGCCACACATGCCTGTTTTCCCAGAGGTTATCGGGCAACTGACACCGCAACATCTTTTCGTAGGTAAACGACCTGCCCCCACCCCTTTACGGGACGTCCCCGTCGCCTTTTCCATCTCTCCTCTTCCGTTCGCGGTCCATTTAAATTTTTAGGCCTTGTCCACATGAGCGCGGTTCGCGGACTTATTCCGAGGAACTTGTTCCCGGAACAAGTTTTAGCTGAGCTAAAAACTTATTCCTCCAAAACCCGGAACATCCCCCGTACTCCGAGCTTCTATATATGTTTCTTTCGATATGAATTTGTTTGTTTTTGTTTTTTACGTCCTTTACATGTCTTGACATTTATTTTCGTTACTTCGGCGGCCGTAATAATCTATCATTTTGCGATAATTAAACAGTTTTATTGAAGTTCCGGTTCTAGTTCGGGCGAACTCGTGTGGACAGCATGCGTCGTTTTAAGGAATAAGCTCCGGGAACTGAGCAGTTCGAGGAATAAGTTCCGCGAACTGCGCTCGTGTGGACAGGGCCTTAATTTTCATTTTTGTATTCTGTCTCTAATTTGAAGATCGTCCAGGCGAGGGAGGCCGTCACGATAGCCGCCTCGAGAGACCTCACGAAATCCAACTCCCGGATCCTCCACTTCTGGCCGAGCGGGGACACTTCCATCTTCGACATCGACGCCGGCGTCAAGCGGCTGTTCATGATCGTCGACGCCGCCTACCTGGAGCACGAACGTCACGTCAACTATGTCGGCATCTTCGACCTGCGCACCATCAACTACACGTACTTCCTCAAGTCGCTCCCGCGCATCCCGCACATGGTCGACATCTTCTTCAACGCCTACACGGATCGCGTCGTCTCCTTCAACGTCATCAACGGGCCCCCGGTCGTGAACCTGATCGTCAAGACGTTCATGAAGTACCTCCCGGAGAAATTGGCCGAGCGGGTCTACGTACATGACCACGTCTCGGATCTGCTCGAGTGTAAGTGGGTGGACCCGGACGTTCTTAGCGAGGACTTCGGCGGGAATGGGCCCAGTCTCAAAGAATATGATGGTGAGTTTTCGAATCCTCTTGGGGATATATAAACTAAAAAGACATTATTTTCGACCATTTTTGGGGAATTAAGTGTGAATGCTTGATTATTAATTGTTCCCCATTTGAAGCTATGGTGGAGGATCAATTATTGAGGTGTTCGTTGCGAAAACCCTGCATGTTTATCGATCATTTACCTTAAGTTTGACCCTTAGATGACTAACCAGGTCAACGAGGCCCTGCAACTTTTCATTTTTCGCGCCACAACGGTTGTAATTGACTCAGGAGTCTGTCCCCCACAAATACGTCCATTTGTTCCTCCGTGCTATCTGTTTTCCATCCCCGACCGACTGATTGACCTAAAGTTTTGGGGTCTTTGAAACCACCGCTGAAACGCTTATGCGGCTTTAATTCATGTGTTCATGAACTTTCCGCTTTTTATAGAGTACACCACATCGAGTTTGGAGAAACACGCTGCCTGGTTCGCCGAGCAGGACTTCATTTGCTCGAACGAGGAACTCCGGAGGAAGGAAGACAACGATCCAGATCAGCTCCAGGGCTCTTTCAGGAGATTGGAGGTCGACTGATTCCCTTTTACATTGCAAACATTAGGTTCCTAATAATTGAGTATGTTTCCCGCGAAAGATTGAGTTTGTCATCTACTTTTTTTGTTTTCGCCCAAAGATCGATTTACATTTGATGAGATGTATAATTTTTGTATATGCATTAATAATTTTATGAATAAATTGCATTTACCAAACTTTAAATGTTCGGTATGTGTGCACATAGGATAAGTTTCAAAAATTAAAAAGTTTTTTTCCCCTTAAAAGTTAATTTTTCTCTATACTTAACGCAACAATATATTTAAACATCATTCCTCCATTTTTTTTCTACCACGCAATATTTATTTTAATTCCCTTCTTGAACGAGCGCGTTTTGGGGCCGTCCTTAAATTAAATTACGCACTTTTCCGGCATTTTTGACCCCCCCCCTCCATCCCGTGTAACGATTTTGTAATGTACATCCCTATCCTTTAACACGTAACATCATAATGGCGTAACGCTCTCCTCGACCCCCCCTTCCCCCCAGGGCGTTACGTAATTTCGGGATGGCCCCTGATGAACTAATTTTAGAAGAGGCATAGGGAACTCTAATCGGAACAGGTTTTAAGATCTACCGCTCACTAATTCCCTTTAAACCTATATTTATTTCGTATTTCAAGGAAGAGTGCGAGGGTGAGGGGGTGGTTTGAGGGGTTAAAGAATCTCCCTCCTTTTCCCCTCAAAATTAATATCTGCTCTCATATCATCTTCGGATCTTCAAGTTTTATATTCCGTGCATTACTAATCAATTAATGAGCGATTAAAGTTCTACAAATAAAGAATGATTACTCACTTAAATCCTGAACTTTGTATTTTCCCCTCCTTTCTTGCCTTTCTTCTCTCCTCTCTCTCCACCTCTCCCCTCGATGTCCAACTGTCCACCGCCGACTTCTATGATCTCACTCTCCTTTGATACGCACGACGCAACTACCGGCGATCAGCCTTGCCCATGAAAAGTTATTGAACTGACGTTCACACCCAAGGTCACAAAAGCCTCTCTCAGATACAGCTGGCAGATCTGAGATAAAAAAATCAGCCCTTTTTTTACAGCTTCGTGGGTTAGAACAACGTGCATTTTTAACGTTTCTTCGATTAAAGTAGGATGAACGGGCCGCCCTGGTTTTAGCATAGGAGTCGCATAACCAAATTGTTTATCACTCAAGGCGTCGATTATTCCCGCATTTTCCTCCTAGGATGACTGGTTTTCTTGGCTCAGTTTCCTTTTCATTGAGGTTGTAACACGTCGGTACCGTGTATTTCGGAGTTAAGGTCTGTTTATTTTCATTTCGTCGGTTCGATATAAAACTTAAGTAAGTGAAAGGCTAGCTTAAATAGTTTGACAAGTGTGTAGTGTTAATCTCCTTCTCTAATTGCATTCAGATTCTAATGATTGAAATTCTTTCTTGATGGAAATAAAACCTCAAGAGGAGTAATCTTTAAAAAGTTTGAATCGGCGCGATGGTGAAACTGCAAAAAAATGTATCACTGTTTGCGACGTTGCTGACTTTCTGTCATATTTTATTTTTTGAATAGAAAACTTCTCAGCGGGAATTTTTTAAAACTGCCATACTTTTTCTTCTCTGTGTGAAGAACATTTTGTTAAAACTTCAAGTAAAGATGTTGATTTGTTGACCTGTAAAGAAATAATTCGGAAGCTGAGATTTTTGAACGCCGCAAACCAAAAATAGTGTATTTTATTCGGAAAATACACTAAAAAAAACGTGGTTTGGTAGTTTCACCGTCGAAATACTAGTGCTACTTGCGTGAGTAACATTGAATGAGAGGCTCAAAAAAAGTGTGTGTGATAGTCACACTTCACATAAAGATCGATGATTAAAAATACTCTCAAGAGGGCTTTCCACATTTATAGAAAAATGGGAAAATTTAAGAAAAAATTAAATAAGTACATAAACAGTAGGATTCTTTAAGAGATGATGGTGCAGTAATTCAACGGCAAAAACATTACATGCAATGAAACATATGGTTTATGTTTTTGACAATCTACTTTTCGTTCTCTCAAAACAAAAAACGAGCCTCCAGTTCAAACTTTGAAGTTGAGACACTTCTGTCATAGGGTACGCTTTCTTGATAAAATTCTGATTTGATGGGCAATTCATGACACCATCTGATCACAAATTTTGGTAAATAGAAGAATTATCAGGAATTCTTACGCACTGAAGTTTCAAGCTTGACAAAAATGGAGGGGAAGGGGTCGTTTTGGAACCGAGGAACTCTCTTAAAATGCATCCAGGCATAAGATCTCAAAGTATTTTGTAGCCTTGTGTCAAAATTTCATCTTCGTGCTTAAGTTTGAGTTCCGCTGTTGTCAGGGTGTACAATAATTATTCACAGCTCATTATCAGGCGCATCTGTAATGATAACACTGAGAGATACTCCTGACCGCTCGGAAAGTCACTGAAACTGGGCTTCAAGGGTAATAAAAAAAACTGCATTCCGGTAAAATGTTTAATTATGTGTATCAAAAATGTGTCTGTGAACGTTAAGTGTGCGTTGAGTGATTGAAAATGTGCGCGGATCCTTCCTATATTTACCTATCATCATGCGATTCCAGGATATCCATCTCTCTTGCAGGCTAAACAAGTTGTCAAGACACTTTTCGCAAAAAAATGAACTGTCAGGTAAGATAAAAATATATGTACACATTCATTAATGAAATACACAATTTCAAGCAAAATAGCCAGTTAAAATGATGAGAGGAAGTATCGAAATTATATAATCGCTTGAGAGTCTGTTGTTCCTTTATCGAAGACAGCTGTCATCCGAAAATATTTGTATAATGAGAACTGAACAATCAGAGATTTGTCTTTGTATTAGTTTTCATAAAAATCATAGATTAAAGAAAGTTAAAATATTGAAGGACTTAAAACTACAACAAAATGAACCATAAGATATTAAGGCCATGGCTGTGTCTCGGAGGAACAGTGGATCCATGCCATCATATCTTTAACCCTGGGGAGGACAATTTTTCCCCGGAAGAAATTATTTTAGGATTTCCAAAGACAACAAGAAGAGAATTTATAACTCTGTTGTCAAGCCTATTATCACCTATGGCAGTGAAGTGTGGCAGTTGAAGAAGCGGACCCAAGAAATGCTCAAGGCGACCGAGATGGATTTCTGGCGAAGATCGGCTGGAATCTCGAGGAGAGAACGTGTCAGGAATGAACGTGTCCGAGAGATAATGGGCGTTGAGGGGACGATTGTGCACGATATCATGACCAAGCAATTGGTATGGTATGGGCATGTGCAGAGAATGGCTGATACCAGGTTGCCGAAGAAGGTGTTGGAGTGGGTCCCCCCAGGTAGGCGACGGAGAGGGCGTCCAGCCAAACGGTGGGTAGAGGGCATCCATGAAGAGATGGAGAGATGCCAGCTTCTGGAGGATCTCTGCCATGACAGATTCCTGTGGAGAATAGGCGTCGCAGAGCGCTCATGCGCGCCGTAAAAGCGGCTCATACATACATAGAAATTATTTTATTTATAGGCGGAGCAAATTTTTTATGAGTAGAGAATTATTTTTTAAGGAGAGCGTAGAAAATATGTTATTAGGGGTGGAGCTTTTTTAAGGTGGGAAAAATTTTCTTTCACGAGAGGAGAAATATTTTTCTCAGGAGAAAAAAAAGGCATTTCTCTCGCACAAGAAAAACGTATCGGTCGAACAAAAATATGGTTTCCCGCCTTAGAAAAGTGTTTCTCCACGCGTTACAAAAAAATTCCCATAAAAAATTTTTTCCTCTCGGAAAAGATACTTCTCCCCAAGGTTACGGAGATGATGTCATACTATAGTTCACGCGGACAGACATAGTACCCGAGTGTACCAACATTTTCGTTGCTAAAAACAGCATGAATCTCAATTATTTTTATTTTAGGTAATTGAGGGGATTTGAGGTCAAAGCGCATTAGTGAAGTTTTTGAAAAAATTGAAATATTGATTATTTTAAGTAAAACTCTGTAAAAATTCGCCCCCAAAATTCCAATTTTTAAGCATCAAAAAGTCAGTTTGAACTTTCTCTCCGCCGTAAGAATCCATTCAATTTCGAAACTTCACATACGTAATTCTCGAAATAGAAAAAACTGGACTTATGCGCTTTGTCCTCGAAGCCCCTCAATTGGACTGCATTTTGCCATTTGGAACTATAAATTCCGGCCTGGTTTAAAAACAACATATGTGCCATTGGTTTCCTTATGAACATCAGTGTTTTTTCAGATGAGCCAGTATCTATAGTTTCAAATTGCAAAATGCAGTCCAATTGTTCTAACCGACGCAAAGCTCAGAAATCGGCTTCCAGAGCAGAGTTTACTACACACTTATGATTAGCATACGTCGAATGGTAAATTCACGAATGACGTCATTTGTATGAGTACAGATCCGATTGATCAAAGTTCAATGCACATGTTAATATCACACTCATAATTTGGTTCCCAAACTTTTTGTTGCACCGCTTGCTCCCTACGTAAAATTTTGAGGAAGGAAGGAATGATCGATTGCTTTAAATCATACACAATCAGTCTATTGCAACGTTACAATGCCTCACTCGACAATTTATACTTACTCACTCGCGATAAGCTGCGATTTTTTGTGAATCTTTCTAGCGGCTCAAGGAAAATTTCGTAACATTTTTAACGTTAAAATATACATCAAACACCTGTTCATCTATAAAGACATAGTTTTTCACTTAGCTCTCCTTAGATTAGGAAAGAAGGCGGTGGATTACGAGTGAACGGTGCGTACACCTTAAACACTTCAGCAGGCGCAAAGTAGGCAATTTGCACATCAGGACTATGCATGTATCAGTGTAGCGTTTGAAGTATTTCTACGATGTTGAAGGCGCTTTAAAAGGTGCGCGCGGGCGGGCAACTTGCACCGTCTGCAATAATTGGAATTCGCGGTGGAAGCGAATTAAAATTATTAGAAGTGCATTTATTTTTACTGGAAGCTCTGTGGGTACTTTGCTTTTGATAAATACGAGTATATTCATTTATTCCTTGCACACTGATTTCTTGCGTAAATTACTCCCGCTGTGGCTGCGGGAATGTTTTGTTGGTATTACCTCGACCGTGGACATTTTTCTGCTGAAATGTAATGAAGCCACTCCGTTTGTGTCGTGTGATAGAGCGTGTATAGAAAAAAAGGCGTTTAGTTGCAGGCTGATTATTGAAATTGATAGACATAGATAAAGAAGAATGAAAGAGTATGGAGAGATCCTGTTGGTGGGAGCGGGTGGTTGCAATGGACACAGGCAGTAGGTAATAGACCAACCTAACGGCAACCCACGAGAAACTCGACAGTTGGTCCATCATTTTCTCCCTTAGTCTATAAGAACCACACATTTCAACCAATACGATCGCTCCATACTCCCTATGTTCTTTTTGTCTAGTGCTTGGTCTATCAATTTCAATAATCAGTCTACAGAGCGTCCTCCGTTATCGGTCCCTCCAGAGCGCCCTCCATTTTTTTTTTTTTTTTTTTTTTTTTTTTGATAAAAAATTCACCTTTCTACAGCAAGAATCGTTGCATCCAAACGTTCTCATTAGTTGGCCTACATTTTTGAATAAGGGACTAGTATTTCTGGCTTATTTTAGAGGAAACTAGTGTGACATTAATTTCCTATGCAGAAATGTGGTTTAAATGGTGAGCCTGAAATAGTAGCTCTCTCTCTTGAAAAATTTAGTCTAGTTCATAGTTCCGGTTTAATTCCATTCTACTATCAAAGATTTACGCTGAATTTCTATTACGGAAAAACTTTATTCGCTGATATAGCTACATAAAAGTCCTTACTTCAATTTTCGAGCAATTTTTTACACACAAAACATATCTCTTTTTATCCAATACGATACAGTCAAGTCAATTTTGTTGGTATGCCTTAATCGTAACTTAGAGCCAAGAAAGGGTAAGAATTCAATTTGAATTTTAATCTTCCGATTTGTGCTTGTTGTAACGAAACCATTGCTACGAACGTGACTACCAACTTTTGCGAAATAGAGTGCATTGATTTATAAATTTCAATGGCATTTGATATTATGATACAATTCATTTTCTCCTTATTTGCAATTCTTGCTTTTTCTATGCTCTTACATTTTATCTTTATTTTTTTCAGAATACACGGACCAATCATGCAGAGAAACAGAGACCAGTTTTTGAAACAAACGGGCATACAAATAAATGCATTTTCGAATGAGAGAAGTTTTTATGAATCTAAATTAATGAGATTTTAGCATCGATGAATTTAATTAGTTATTTTTTTTTGAAAAAACTCATTTAAATTGAAAAATGTTGTTTTATTCAAATACTTATTCTTAGAGTAATATATTTTTCTCTGTAAATGAAAAAAATGAGCCTAAGACAATTCCTTTAAGTTGAAGAAAGGTTTTTAAAATTTAAAAAAAATAATTTAAACATTATTCTCATATGTACTTATAACTTTGTGCTTCTTAGAGATCACGTCAAAATGAAGACACGCCCTGACGCTTGAAAGATAATATGCGCTGGAAACACAACGAATATTCAGCGATTTTTTTTAATAGCTTAAATAGTGACGAAATATTTAGCTATGCTCCGGGATTACCCGGTTACTTAATTAAATAATATGAATAACGTCGCATTCGCCAATAGATTAGAGGACCAAAGACGAAAATACCAGACTCCAGCCGGCATTCCTGTATTCATCAAAATTATGGAACAGACTAGAAAAAACTCCGCGACACTTCGCTAATTTTCTGCGAATATTAATAAGGTAAAATATCCGGGTCTAATAAAACGGCAGGGTAAGAGAGTAAGGGGGAGCCCATTATTAACCAAAACGCATAAGCTGACGCTGTTGCCAAACGGATAGCAATTGTGACTGATTTAATTACTGTGCATCTTGTTACGTAATATATTTCACTCCTCTCTCTCTCTTTTTCTTTCTTTCGGCCTCTGCATAATGAAGACCCTCTAAACGTAGTTTTTTTTTGTTATTTGTGTGATTTTTCAAATTATTTTTCTAAAAACTGAAAAATTTAGGCTTTATCCTCTGCATCTGAAAATTTGCGTGAAAAACTTGTGCTAAGGTCTAATGTATGTTATGTACACTCATTAAAGTGTCATGATTTCAAACGGTCTTTCGTTTGCTCCACATATATCTCGTTACAATAGTGCAGGTATAAAATAAACCCTATATATCACCCAGCATTTCTTCCCATTTTCATCAACTATGGCATTAATTAAAAACACCCGTGGAGAAGGAATGTTCGGTGTACTTCACATGCAGAATCCCTTACGATTTCCTTTTTTATTGATACAATACATTATGATTTTATTACATCCGCCAACCATCATTTTGCAGTGAAGCTGTTAGTCATCATTGAGTCCACTAGATTTATTTGTCGCCTTCTTAATGGGATGATATTTTTATTTTATCGAAATCCTGCATTCTAATCCTTGCCATTTACGTTGAATGTATTTGGAGAAACTTTTCAGAAAGCTTTCACTCAAACAAATTTGAAGTCAGAGTAATTTCAGGATATACCGACAGTTTCGCATAGTTTCTCCGCTATTGGAATTCGTCAGTGACATATGAACAATAAATAATTTTATCATGAATGGATGAAAAAAACTGACACTAATTCTACAAGCGTTAAAGACTTACCAATGGATTGTTCGCGTCCATAGGTGCTACAAGAGAACTTTTTGTGAGAAGCGCAGAAGGACACCTCAGTGATTGAGGTCTTGGGGGTCACAGAAATACATTTTATCGATGGAAGTCTACGGGACTCCACCAGCTCCAAAAAAGGGATTTGGGGGGACTTCCTCGGTTCCAAAGGGTGCTCCTCGAGCAACTCCCCACCCTCCCTTAGTTTTGCCCACACGGAAAAAACGATATAACGCTGATCACTAACTGTTTAGATCCGATGGAGGCAGCTAGTTTGGCAGTAGGTCTGAGCCTTAAAACTTTAGGCCCAGCCCTACAAACTGTAGGTCTCAGCGCTACTGCCAAACTAGCTGGCTCCATTTGATCTGAACAGTTGGTGCTCAGCACTATATCGTTTTTTCCGTGCATGTTTGCATCGTTAAATGTAATAAAGCTTTTGAACATTTCTCAGAATTTTGTAAGTTTTACCAGATTTCTAATTGTTTATACTGATGCACTTTTTGAAGTTAATTGAAAGAAATACGCAATCGCTGCTCTCAGCGTACTCAATCCCGACTCCGATTTTTCTTATTTGTCCGCAGGTGTTTTAGGAATAGATTAAAGGCCATGTCTCCTGTAGCAGAAGTAATAGAAGACACAGATGTGACCCCACAGCGGATAAAGGAGGGAGTCCAGCACCTCAAAGAATGGCTCGCCAAACAACCGCACCTTCCAAACGTGGATGACGAGGAATGGCTCGCCACATTCTTGTGTCAATGCAAGCTCAGCCTTGAGAAGACAAAATCCAAACTGGACGGCTATTTCAGCTACAGAAACAAATATCCCCAATTTCTCAAAAATAGGAACCCTGCAGATCCAGAGGTATGAAACTTTTAACTAAAAGAGGGTAAGGCTTAGAAAGATAAGTTTAAATCAATTTTTGGTGCATTTGGAAAAATTTTGTGAGTTTGGCCTGAGCAAGCTCTTTCATCCTCCGAACAACTATTATCTCGTAAAAAGCTGACCGTATTTCACCCAGCTTTTCCCAGTCTCACTTTTCAAAAATTTTCTGAAACCTTCTTTGGAGCTAATGAGTCCCCCCAGAACCCCTTGGGTGCGGTTTTGTACCCCTCTTTTTGTACCCGTTTCGTCAGCTGCCCATATTCACATCCGTGCGTTAAAATAATTTTAACCACAGCGTTGTAAATTCTCCTCTTGTTCTTACCGAAAATAAGTGAAGTTGATTTAAAATTCTGAATGTAAAAAATGTGAGAACTTATAAAATGCAGATGTACCCACCACAGCAATTAGTTTTACATCTTAGTACTGCTAAATTTACTTTTGTGGCGGGTAATTCAGCATTTTTAAAGTTCTTCCACACTTTTTTACATTCAGAATGTTAGGTCAACTTCCCTTTTTTTTCGGTACTCTTTCGAGATTATTTAGCTTTAAGGTGATTCGATGGACGCAATATTTCATGTTAGAACGTTATGGAATATATTGCATCGGTTAGTTCCATTTTAACAGCTACTCGTCATTCTTCTCGAATTTTGAGATCGCAATTCTCTTATCAGAACTCACTTACCGATTTTGAAAAACAAATTCAACGTAATAAATGCGTGGTTTTTTTAAAGGAAAAATATCGCATTCGAGTGCAGTTTCAATATAAGTATCGTATGAGATATTTTTCTTCTAAAAAAACACTCCTTTATAACGTTGAATTTGTTTTGTCAAAGTTATGGTAAGTGAATTTTTTAGTCTCGCGACAACAGAGTTGCGTTCTCAAAATTCGAGGGAAATGACGAGGAGCTGAAAAAATGGAACCAATCGATGCTATATCTCGCATGACGTTCTGACACAAAATATGGCGTCCATCGAATCACCTTAATTATTATTTTATTTGATTTTTTTTTAAATGTATAGGTCATGCTCGCCGGTAAATCCTACAATTTGTCAATCTCGAGCAAGCTCACCAAATCCGGCGCCCGAATCCTCCACTTCGCGCCCGGCGAAGACCCGAGCATCTTCGACGTTGACGCCCTCGCCAAGCGGATGTTCATGGTGACGGACGCCATGTACCTGGAGAAGGACAGACACACCAACTACGTCACCGTCACGGACTGCCGGCACCTCCACTACATGCACTTCCTCAGAGCTCTGACGCGGATCCCGCAAATCGTCGACGTCTACGTCAACGCGTACACGGAGCGCGTCGTCTCTTTCAACGTCATCAACGCCCCCAGCTTCATAAACAAAGTGGTGAACATGTTCAAGAACTACCTGCCGGAGAAGATCGCGAACAGGATATATGTCCACGAGGAAGCATCGGAGTTACTGGAGTGTGAGTACGTGGACGAAGATGTCCTCGCAAAGGAGTTCGGTGGAAACGGGCCCAATATCAAGGAATACGATGGTGAGTTTCTATTTCCACTTTGGTCTCCGTGGGCAAAGACCCCTAGACGATTACACGGCCAGCGGACTAATTACTGGGGAAAAAAAAAAAAAAAAAAAACTATATAAACATAGGTATCGTCCGCGTTCCGGGCTCTGAGGCCGAAAGTTCAGGATGTCGGACCCGAAACAGTCAAAGCTACGGCTCCAGCACCTGGAACTTTCGGCCCCTGAGACCGGAACGGACATTTTTTGAGTAGGATAAACAAAGTGGTAGACAAAGCGGATAGAGGGAAAATGGGGTTTCAGGACATTTTGTCAACGATTTTTTGTCCGCGCACCTTTTTTTGTCCAGTAGTTTACGCCCACACGTAAAATAAGCAACAGTGACTTGGTCCAAGCGTTATATTTTAGTCGGTACGTAAAATTATATTGACAATATGGAAATGAGAAATTGAGAGAGAAGGAGGTGTTGTTATGGCTGCTCATTTTCTAAATGAAATGTTATTACTTTCTCCTTTTGAATCATCTTTTTAAATTGTCATTGGTGCATATTTGGTTTTATTTCTATACCTAAAATATTGAATGTACAATATACCTTATATATGTATAGGTACTTTTTTTTATTTTTTCTTAACGAAATTATTACTTCGTTTTGAAGACATTTATATATTTAAAACGTGACAAATATTTTTAAAACCTTTTCCAAGCGACATTAATCTCAATGAGCCGCAGTTGTGCCGACAGAAACTGCAAAAATGAATAAAAGAGGAAAAAAAACCAAGAAGCACGCAATCTTTAGTTTTAACCCATTTGTACACTGATCTTTTAGAGTCAAATACGTCAAATTTTCAGCGTTTCGTTGCGCGTGCACCTCGCTGCAGAACAATAAAAGCACAAAATGTAAAAGAAAAAATTAAAGTGCTTTGAAAATCATTAAATTTGAGACGGAACCATCAATATTTAAAAGACACACATTATATTATTATGCTCCTTTGATAAATTGATGCATATTTTTTTTTTCATCAATTTAAATGAGAATAATCAATGCAGAGTGTGCAAGCATTTCAAAATCATGAGTTAAAAAACGCTGACTATGCGAGTATAAATATTAAAGCCTAACAGAGCGGAGCGGCGCGGCGCGGCGGCGTGCTGCCAGCGCGAGAGGCTCACTGGCACCTACAAACCTAAGTGAATACTTCACGCATTGCACAATGCTTGAAGTATCCACTTAGGTTTGTAGGCGCCAATGCGCATTTTACGCTGGCCGCCCGCCCGCCGTGCGGCGGCGCCTGAAGCAACCATTTTACAACAGAGGTGTTGCACAGTATTATACGAAATTGAACGTATTAAGAATGACAGGCATCCTTCAAAAGTACAGATCTATCCTCACAAAATAAATCAAGATACTTATCGTACACTGAAAAAATCTAAGAGCCTTTAGGTGAGGCAAATATAGAGGTTTATCCGGTTCAGGTATTACAAGGTGGGAATTTCTTGAAAGATAATTAAGTTCTGTTACACCAAAGAGGTGTAGAGAGTTTTAGTGAATTTTGTCTCATGGAATTGATGCGCCCCCATTTTTACCAAAACTCTCAACTATATATTATTCTCCGTTGGACCAAACAGACAAAACAAAAAAACAAGCAAACCCTCATTCTTCCAAGACAATATATATTTGCATCCAAAAACGTCGTGAGCAATTGTCATTTGCATTTACATGTGGGCCAATTAACTTTGGGTCTCAACTGGCACGTGGACCAAAACTCCCGTGCCGAAAAAACGCGTGGACGTAAATTACTGGAAAACACAGGGTGTGCGGACAAAAAATCGTTGACGAAATGTCCTATAACCGAAAATTGAGCGATTCTATTGATGGAGGCGGGTGGTTGCAATCGGGAAAGTAGGTAAGCAATAGACTTAATAAAATAATGTCAAAACCACGAGAGAACCTTTAGCTATTCCATCATTTACTTTCTCCGTCTGTAAGAGCCACCCGCTTCATTTTCCGTTTATTTTCTTTGTCTTTCGCTTTGCCTATCAATTTCAATAATCAACCTGTAGAAGAAAAAAATAAAATTTGAATAAAAAATTTAGATATTGATGGTTAAGGTGCAATACCGCCTAATTGAGAATTTTGCTAAAGGGAATTAGCGACTTAAACGCACTCTACAGTATAAAATAAGCAAGCTGATATTTTCAGTATTTTATCCAATTTCGTATGGGAGCGCTGTAATGACGCTGTGATTTGTGAAAACTTTTGCAAACGCATCCTCAAAATCACAAAAAAGGTCGAGCCTTTTCTTTTTTCTGTTAACTTGTCAGTTTTTAGATAGGCAGTCCCTTAGCCATCGACACAGGGTTTTAATTGAAAACACTCGCTTGAGGATCCCCTATAACCCTAACCCTAAAGCGGTTCAGTTCATTTTCGTGCCAATGAAGAGCGAAAAGTTACATTTTATGCCAAAACCCAAATGTGACGGATTAAATCTTACGCGTTATTCGATTCAAATATATCACGGGTAGCGAGATTGACGACAACATTTGAACGCAACTATTCGTGCTTGAGGGATATCTGTGCTGCATGTACGAAAAATTGAAGGCGCATTTGCTGTTTTTCACTTACACCAACGATACGAGCAGCGCATCAATCTGTGAGAATGTAGCAACAGGAAAAATTTGCATTTTGAACCAACAATTTTAAGACCAGAATTCGACAAATTAATACTGAAGCTGTCATTTTCTTAAATTCAGAAAAGAAGTGATAATGCGTGCCTTGGAAATAAGAAATCATTACATATTTTTTAATAAAGCGTGCTCGATTAAAATATCGGATAAGTGGTGAGATTGATTACAACGCTTGAATACAACTGTTCGTCCTTAAGGGATGTCCGTGTCGCATGTAAAAATTTGTAAGCGCTGAAACTGCGTCCTCCTTAGAAAAGATTATGGAATTTATTGGAACCTTGGATGGTTTTTTTGAGGAATCCTTCATCTTTGCGCTACTTGCTATCAATACCGTCGATTGCCGTCTTTAAATTTCTTTTTGGCCCTATCTAAATATATCGATGGCTGGAATTAAAATAGTATGCGTACCTATATTGCAACTTTTAAAAATCTCCAATTGTGTTTTGTCCTTGTAATAGTCACCGAACAAAATTAACTCCTCGAGATTTTCTGAGAGTATTTTTGGAAAAGTGAAAAATATCCTAAAAATTATTTAAAAAATTCTTGGTTATGTTCCTTAGAAAAGAATCCATCACCAGAGACTTACAACGTCGCAAGTGGATTTACGTATTTTAATACTTTAGCTGTCGATAGAGTAGCAGCCCCACACCACTGCACATCGATCTATTTCCAATAGTCCGAAAAAGAAATAATATGTCTCTATCGCTTAACTCAATCCAATTGAGAACATATTGTGATTAGACCGAGTTAAGCAAAAAGGGCCCAAGCCAAATCAGCTCTTGCCAAATTTAAGTGGGCTTTTTAATTTTTTGCATGAAAACGGTTGTGCGTATTTGTGTGTAAATTTACTGAATTTCCTACATAGTCCTCAAAATCTTCAAAGGAATTCGCACAAACTTTCTTTCGTAAAAAAATAAATTGCCCGGTTAAATTTGGCAAAAGCTGATGTGACTTGGTTCCTTTTTGCTGGACGCGGCCCAATAAGCGTTTTCATTGACGTTCTCTCTTGTTCCAGAATTCACGGTGCGCCTTTTAGAGAAGCACGCGGGGTGGTTTGCAAAGCAGGAGTCCGTTTGCTCGAACGAGGAACTCCGGCGAAAAGACGATGCCAAGCCAGAGGAGCTCCAAGGCTCTTTCAGAAAGTTGGAGGTTGACTGATTACTTTAATGGGTCAACATCTGTGCAAACTATGATGACTGTTACTGAGGACACTTCTTCGTGCTCATTGATGAAGACTACAACATACGTCTTGAGCGTCAAAATGAACCACTAGACGATCGAACAATTGGACTGCATTTTGCAATTTGTAACTATAAATTCTGGTTCTTCTGGAAAAACACTTATGTGCATAGGGAAACTAATGACACGTACGTTGTTTTTAAACAGGGCCGAAATTTATAGTTCCAAATTGCAAAAAGTAGTCCAATTAAGACATAATATACAGGGGTATTGAAAAGTCACGCACCACTAGCCATGAGGGGGTGGCCATTTGAAATGTTTGAGTTGCACCCCTTCTCTCCTCCCCCTGAGGGGGTCAAAAACTGGAAAGTACCTAAACAGTTTCTTTCTCATAATGAGGAAAAACGTCACAAACCGCAAATCGATATCTTAATTAGAACTAAAGTTATGGCCAGTGGTGCGTGACTTTTGAATAACCCTCTATGTTTTCCCATAAAAATTCAACGCAAAACACAGTCAAAAAATTGATGATTTCCATAATGAGATCGTAAATGGACCGCGTTCTGCAGAAAGAAACTAAGTACATGCATCAGCAATCGTCACATTTAACTGGGTAATTTAATTTTTTACAAGAAAACATCTGTGCGGATTCCTATGAAAATATTAGGATTTTTTCTACGCACTATGCAGAAAATTCACTGTAATTTGCATAAAAATCTGCTTAACTGCTTTTATGTAAAAAATTTATTTGCCAAATTAATATAGCAATAGCTGATGTGGCTTGGTTTTTCTGCTTAACACGGTGAAAATATGCTTTTAGCACGTATGACCTGCACTCAAATTGGTAAAATCAAAATACTCGCTGTACTGAAAACGTTGAAATCAATGTAGGTCCAATTAGAGTTCCTTCATACGCGGAGTTGCACCATTTTAGGTACTGGATGTTACAAACGAGTAGGAAAATTGTACAGTCAGTGATTTTTTTGGGTCATATTTTGTCAATTCATTCCTAGGTTCCTTATTTACGCTTCCTCTCTCATTAATACTTTCTTATAAACATCCCAAAATTTGATATTCTCCAAATGTTCCCCGTGTCTTCTGTATTATTTTGAAGAAAATGCAATGTATACGAATAATGCATTTTTTGTTATGTTTGATTTTTAAATATCTTTGATGGTCCCATTGAAGTTGAGATCCTTCATCTCCTCTTATGTTTGATTTGTTCGTTTTACGTGAAAATCCCGTGTAGGTACAGGGATGAATAGATTTACCTATTTTCCTCAGGAGGTAACTTCAGCTGACACCTGTATTTTCCCATTTCATTACGTTGTATCGTAGATAATGTATGAGCATTATTTTTTTTAGAATTATTTTAGGAAATATTCGCTTAATACTCGTAATTATTTTTGACTCATCATCCTCAAGTTCTTTCTGAACCTGGTGTGTTGTGAACCACGTGTGATGAAAACCAAAAATATCAAACAAGCTTATTAACCTAATTCCTTAGTAAAATATACTTGTTCTCGTTATAGAATTATTCATATTACACGTCTGGAATTGTGATTCATAGCTATCCTCTATAATTGTACTGAAACGAAAATAAAGTGACTTCTATAAACTTCACCTCATATTTCATTAGAATATTTCACGCATCTCGATTATGGGCTTTCAAACTCATTTTTTCAATGCATTAAATGTAGGCGCATTAGGCACCTAACGGCATTAGTTAAATATTTATTTTTCTATGAAGTTAATGAGACGAAGATGATGAATTTGTCGACGATATCAAGTAGGAATCATTCAAATAAAGAGCAAGTTATGAAAGTAGATTATGACTAACAGGAAAAGTGCTCCAAACACCATCAACATGTTGTCATGCGTCGTTTACGGTTTTTTTTACATATATAATTTCGTATCGAACTTAATCAACACAAATGCCGTTTATAAAATGTTTCATTTGATAAGAAATTCTCTTTAAAAATATTTTAAATTGCAAGAATTCAGAATACCCGTGCTCGTGAGTCACCAAATTCATGCGAACAACCGAAAAAACTGTACTTTGTCTCGTGATCGCATCGAAAAATTCGTCGGTTCTCGAGCGAAAGGGCGTAACTTTATTTTCACTTGAGCCCTAGTGAGCATGGCGTCATATAGACGAAAGGACCCATCAAAAGCAACAGCGTTCTTCTTAAAACAGCGATTTGCACTTGCTGTCTGACCGATTGCGATCTGGCCTTGGCTGCTAAATTCACCGCTCCTGATTATGATTATATCGTATTGAATTCCTCATTTTTTTTACATGGTCATAAACAGTAGTGCATGTTTGTTTTATCTGGTCAGTTATGAAGCTTTTCCTTTTCTTTTCTCTGTGATAATAAACTATTAGCGGTCCTCGCTCAAGGTCACTCATAAACTTTTAATAGTACAAGATTGCTCTCAAACGAGACTATTGCGGCATCTATTTTTCACTTAACATCAATTTATTGCTCGGAGAAATGGCATATTAATTTTATTGAGACCAAATGCAGTTTAATTGAAGTGCGTGAAGTTACTTTAATTCGAAGTTGACCCTCGGTGATCAAAGCACATAAAATCATGAAAGTGGATCTGCGGAAATAGGTAAGTTGCTTTAGGTAATTGGTAAGTAGATTTTGTGGTGAAGCGGTGTGACGCCAATATTATATCAGCAGATTTCTAAATAAGGGCGTTTCGTAAAGGACTTATTTGTAATGTGCCGGCACTGGAAACATATCAACGGGAAAAGTTGAAAAACACGTGTATCTCGATTTGCGACGTTGCAGATTTCGTTTTTTCAAAGGAAAACTAATTATCATAAATCTTCAGGATGCGATGGTTTCCTTTCATCTTCAACAGAATACTTTGCGACAATTTCAAACAGTAAAGCACATTGGTTTTTCTTTTAGAAATAAATAAAATGACAAGAGAGGTTTTGAGAAAATGTTAAACTGAAGAATTGGGCTGAAACCAGATGAGAGAGGATGAAACATTCTTTATCAGTTTTTATCCTCTTTTATTACTCTTTTCCTCTTGACAAATAAACTTTTTAACTGAATCTACTACTATTCATTTCCTCACTGTGCATGAACATCTCGGTTCATCTGTGTAAGACACCAGTCACGCCAATGAGATGATAGTTTGTAAGCCTCTTGGAGTGCCTTCAAAATGATATGATACCACAAAACGTACATACGTTGATTTTTTTTTAGCTCTATACATATGGTTAAGTACTATTTCTTCCCTGGTAAGAATTGGTAGTATAGGATCTGGGTTCTGAAATACTATATACCCACAACCGGCTGAAAGATTTCCTATACCCTCTATAGCCGGCTATCGATTTCTCATAGCCTTTTATAGCCGATGGCGATGAGGCTACAGCCAGGCGATAAACTGTAGAGCTCAGCGATAGAACTATAGCATGGCTGTAAACTTTTTCATCGATTCGTATTTTCGACGGCATGTATGATTTTCTTCGCTTTCTACAGCCAGCCATATGATTTCCTATCGCCTTCTAAAGCCAGCTATAAAAATTCCTATGGTATTTTGAAACACAGCTCCTATTGCCAATTTTTACTGCCCTGGTAAAAATTGGCAGTAGAATCTGTGTTCCAAAATACCATAGACCTAAAGCCGGCTGTAAGATTTTCAATGGCTTCTATAGCCAGATGCACACTTTTTATAGCCTTTTATAGCCGATGGCGATTAAGCAACAGACAAGCGATAAAGCGTATTCTAAATGTTACTAATAACGGATGCTAGGACTTACTGAGTTTTTGGACTACCGCTCTCTTTTTGTGCCGTAGTATCTTGATTTATTTTGCGCGGAAAGCTGCGTACTTTTGAAGGATGCCTGAAATTCCTAATATGTTTGAGCGCCTTCAATTTCGTATGATACTGTGCAATATATCTGGTGTGAAATAGTTGCTTCAAGCGCCGTGACACGCTGCGGCGCGGCGGGCGGGTAGCCAGCGCGAAAAACGCATTAGCGCCTACAAACCTAGCAGGGATACTTCGAGCATTGCGCAATGCGTGAAGTATCCATGTTAGGTTTGTAGGCGCTAGTGCGCGCTTAACTCTGGCAGCACGCCGCTCCGCTCTGTCCTAGGCTCCAATATATAATCTCGCGGAGTCAGCGTTTTTCAACCCATGATTTTTAATTGTTTGCGCATCCTGTATGGATTATTCTCATTTTAATTGATGAAAAAAAATATGTATTAAAGGAAAATATAATGTATGTTTTGTAAATATTATGGTGGTTCCATATCAAACTAAATGATTTCCAAGGCGCACAAATTTCTACACAATTTCTTATAGCCTTTTTTAGCCGATGGCGATAAAGTGTAAAGCCCGGCGATAGGAGCTATAGCCCGGCTGTATACTTTTTTTATCGCTTCGTATAGCCCGGCTATATAATTTGCTCCGCTTTCTACAGCCATCTATATGATTTTCCACTGCCTTCTCTAGCCGGCTATAAGAATTCCTATGGTATTTTGAAACGCAGCTCCTATCGCCAATTTTTACCAGGGTGGGGCTAATCACCAGACTCTACTTCTCAGCACATGCGGTGGGTGAACATTTTGTTTTATTACCCTCCCTATCCGCACTTACGCACAACCGACGATTGTCCTCAGCACACTTTTCCTGCACTTTCGCGCATTCTTCCTCTACTAGGCGACATATTTTTCTACACACCACCACATCCGGCGGAATTTTAAGCAATGTAGGACGTATTTCTACCAAACAGATCTATGTGCGGGTGGGGAAGATTGGGTGTGCTCGATTGCTGTTGGGCGGTGATAATGCATGGGACTTATAGAGCGCCAGTGACGTCAGCGGCAACGAAGTAGTAGCCGTTGTCGCCCTCCTTTAACTCATGAGCCGTATCCACAACGCTCTTGTGCCATGCCCATGGCTCATGAGACCTGCATTCAGTTGGCACATAGTTCTGTTTGCCGAATTTAAAATCCTGCTTTTCCATTTCACCAAAAGGAATCTCACCCACTGACAACATTGCCTCCTGTCCACCTCACCACGAGCACACCTCAATGGTTCTGTTTGGTAGAAATACGTCCAGTTGATTTTATTTTTCTCCGTGCTCCATATCCCTTTTGCCTTCTTTGTCCATAGCGTTCACTGGAAAAAAAACACATTTTATCTAGAGTCCAGACTCTTGAAAACATTGACGAGAAAAAGGACTCTTGATTCAATCAGATTTAAGCTTAAATCAAAAGGAAATCCGCTCAAATTAAGAGGCTTGGTTGTTGATTCAAGCTTAAATCTGATTGAATCAAGAGTATTTTTTCTTGTCGATGTTTCTAAGAGTCTAGACTCTAGATCCAATGTGTTTTTTTCCAGTTTTCGCCATTTATCCTATGACATCCATGTCCACACTCCAAACACAAAATTTCAATAACCAGGCTGCAAAATGCTTAAATTCGTATCTTGTCAAGTGGTTCATTTCTATGGTATCTTGAAAGACAGCTCCTACTACCAATTTTTACGAGGGACTTTTGTCTTCTCTCTCTAAAGCGTTGTCTATAAATTTCAAGAATCAGCCCGCAGTGAAGTGGCGCGAGTACGATGACAGCGGAGGTCAGAACTGTCGTGGCAACGCCCCCTCGGGATCGGATCCTGGAGGACGTGCGACTCCTGCGGGAATGGATAGCCAAGGAGCCGCACCTGCCGAACGTGGAGGATGAGACGTGGCTTGAGACGTTCCTGTACAACAACAAGTTCCGGCTGGAGAGGACCAAAGCCAAGCTCAACAGCTACTACTCCTTACGCACTAAATACCCCCAGCTCCTAAGGGATCGAGACCCGACCTCGCCGGCGCTCCTCCAGACCAGGAAGGCTGTCAAGCTGGGCGTTTCGCATCGGCTCGACGAGAGCAACTGTAGGTTGTTCTTCGTAAGGTGGGTTACGAGCATTATTGTTGGCTTGTGCTGGAGATTAATGATATTTCCCTCTACAGGGTGATTCAAGAGTCACGCATCACACTCTATATCCTTAGCGCAGCATCATAATAAGGATACCCGAGTAAAAACCAGTATGTATAATGGACCACTAGACAAGGAACGAATTCCAGCATTCTGATACATGTTTCGTAACTAAAATTTCACGTAGAACACGATGCGCACAACAAAAATTACCGAAATTAACTCTTCACGAAGATATTTAATGATTCTTGATGCGTGAATTCAAACCACCCGCTCATGAAAACTCAATGCTCTACGTGTTTCACATAGTGCTCTAAACGTTATCATGACAGTCTCTGCTATATAAAAATATGGCAACCTCAATCTAGACGCTTTGGCTCAGCTATAGCAAATTGCTTATAGTTTGAAAAATACATGGCGGGAAATGAACATTGCTCGGTTGAGAAACTTGCTGAAACCGATGTAGTGCGAAATTTGACTCACGTTGAGCTTTCAGTTTCTTGTGAGCGGGCAGTTCCAATTCCTTGTAACCAATGTGAAATAAAAACGTTAATATCTTTGTTAGGAGTTGGTTTCAGTAATTTTCGTTGTGTGAATCGTGTTCTACCTGAAATTCTGGTTAAGAAACATGTATCAGATTACTTAAATTCGTACCTTGTCTAGTGGTCCATTTTGGTAATAGAGTCTTCCAATATACATGGAGTAGATCATTGCAAAAAATAAAAAAAGTACACAGGAAAAAATTCGATGAACCTTTTTTGTTCGTAATTTGTAATTTTTGCAATGGCGAATTATTCTTATTCCTTGCAAGAGTCCATTTCCGAAGTTATATTGCTGAACTTTACTCGAGGTTTGCAAAAATTGTCCATTTCATGATGCAATTTGGAAGGTCTCCTTGAACCTCCCTTAATCCCGAACTAAACCAAAGTGGTGAAATGAGGCCTTCTAAGGAAATGAGCAGTTTTAAGTTCGACTATGAACACAACCCTCAGGATCGACCACAATAATTGGACCGCGTTAAGCAGAGAGAAACCAAACCACATCAACTATTGCCATTTTATGGGGCAATTTAAATTTTTACATGAAAACGGTTGTGCGGATTTTTGTGCAAGTTTCAGTGAATGTTCTGCATAGCACGAAGCAAATTATCTAACATGTTCAAAGGAATCCGCACAAATGTTCTCTCGTAAAAAATTAAATTGCCCAGTTAATTTGGCAATAGATGCTGCAGCTTGGTTTCTTTAGAGTCCTTTCATAGAGAGAGTTAAGACAACACGGCTCATAGATGTCACAAACGGGGATAAAGGTTACCCAAATCGGACGTTTTTTGTAATCTATGATCAACCCTTCCGTTTCCGACCCCCCCCCTTCCCCGGTCCGGTCCAGTTTATAATCTTTGCAATTGGTGAGAATGAAATCTTCATTCCCGTTTGTGACACTGTGAATGCCTAAAATACGGGAACCAATCAGAAATGGATTCGTATTGTCTTTACTCTCAGTATAAAGGGACTCCAGGTTCCTTTCTGTTACACGCGGTCCAAATACAATCTTATAAAAGCGTCTAATCATTTCTATCGATTTTCCATGATACCAGGCTCGAAGCGAACTCCGGTGTTGTCGACGCGGAGAACTCAACGAAGCGTTGGCTGATGATCTTCGACGCTCTGTTGCTGGAGCAAGACCGACTGACCAACTACATCATCGTCGTCGACTACCGTAACGTCCGCTACTCCCTCTTCCTTAAGATCCTCATCGTCCTCAAACCGGCCCTCGAGATCCTCTTCAACGCCTTCACCGGCCGCGTGTGCGCCCTGCACTACATCCACGCCTCCTCGCTTGCCTACCGGGCCACCGAGTTCCTCAAGTTCAACTTCCCCAAGAGGTACATGGACAGGATCTACACCCATGGTGACGATTACGGAACGCTGAGGGCACTTATCGATGAGAGGATCCTGTGTAAGGATCTTGGTGGCCGAGGACCAAGTTTCGTCGAAATGGAAGGTAAGGTATCTGCATTGAGTACGTAGAGTCGTATGAATAATACCAGGGTTATCCACACTGAGAAAAAAAAAGATTGGTAGAATTTACCATTCCTTCACGCTGTATCTCACACAGCGTGAATTCAAAGTCGATTTTGCCAGAGGAATGGTTACCTATACCGGTATATAATGACGTCTACCTTTCCTCTGGCAGAATTGACTCTGAAATTGACGCTATGTGAAAAACAGCGTGAAGGAATGGTAAGTTCTACCATCTTTTTTTTCAGTGCAGGGTTGAACGGTCAGACTGCTGGAGCGTGCTCTATGGGTCAAAATAAGACTTTTTTGTTGTGTACCGTTTTTTCCAAAAAGGCCCCTAATTTGAGCTACGCCCCCCCCCCCCAAAATTTCGAAAAGTAAATCGTTTTTCCTGAATTTTGGCAACGGTTGTGAACCAAATTTCATGAAACTTTGTGCTACCCTGTACTTTAATGTCCTGAATCCATAACTGATCTAAAAAAAATAATCGAAATCTTGATTTAAAGAGGGGGTTTGGGGGTGTTTCGGCTCCTGCAGTCTGACCGTGTAACCCTGGATCAGCCTGCATAATGAAGTGTGCTGGGGTCGACGAGTTCCGAGCCTCTTAAGCGCCGAGATTCGGTTACCTTTCCGATACATTTTCGATTCAAAATGACGATGTATAATACGTAATATTTCATAACCTATTTGTTTACATCGGATGGCCAGGTATCCGTGTACAGAAAACAATTCGTAGTGTATCAAAATGATGACTCGGCACCGCACTAGAGTCATGGAATTCGGTGACTGGAATATGCTTGAAAGTTACGCCAGCTCCTCCATTTCTATTACGACTATGCGTGCTCTATGGGTTTCTGCTCAATGTCAGAGTTAGGTGTAGCGTTCATAAATTACGTGACACGCTTCTTCGGCGTTATTGACCCCCCCCCCCTTGTTACGCTTCGTGAAGCAACCCTAAATTCCCCTTAATGATAGGAGAATACTGAGAATGATACATTTCGGATTTTGATTTTTTTTTTTTACCAATGAGACGGTTTTATAACGCTGGCACTAAGCCCTTTCCCTCTTCTCCCTTTGTAACGCAGGCTCATACCCCTTCCCTCCCCCTAGAGTGTTACGTAATTTATGAGAGTTCCCTGAGGCGAATAAGGTGTAAGAAATGTTTCTGTTTGGTTCCCGCAGAGACCATGTTAGATGAGTGATTTCATCTAAATTTTCCATTCTCTGAATTCATCAGAGGCTTATTCTCGTGTATTGATGAATAGTCCAACGTCAGTTGCGAGGCGTGAACGAGCAATTATTGATATTTACCCATTAGAAGCTATGGTAAAGAATCGTTTAAGGTGTTCGTTACGAACACCCTGTTTATCGATCCTTTTCCATAGAAGTAGATGGCAGATCAATCGATTTATCGCAAATCATGGCACGCCACTGTGCAACATGCAAAATTTTAGTCATGTAATCGCAATTCCTAAACTTTAAATCTCAGAGTGAATTTAATTTAATTCTCTAAATTATGCAGACTAAACGCGTGTACACGAAAATGACGTAGGACAAAATTGTTATATTCTAATACTAAAAGTAGCGTTTGGCGTCACGCTAAAACGTTGTACACATAGTAAGTATTCACAATGTCATAAAATCATCACTTCTATTTTCAAATCGTTCTTTGTTTTTTTTTTTACTTCCAGAATACACCCAACAATTATTAGAGAGACACAAGGAATGGTTTCAGGAGCAAAATGACATTTGTTCGAACGAATCATTGCGGAGACGGGAACCAGACGAAACAGAAGAAATACATGGTTCATTCAGAAAACTAGCTATAGACTGATTTTAAAATTTGGAGTATTCATATACCAGTAATGAGAGTAATGCATTTTTTCATTCCCTAGTCGCAAAAATGTTATCTGTTTCATAAATACTTCAAACGTGCATTAAATACAATGATCTCATTAAATTGATCCTTTCATCTTGTCTGCTTTCATCTTGGCTTCAGAGCCATTTTCAAACTTTAGTATGACGTCAAATTAAAATCACATCGATATTTAAAGTGCGAGACCACGTATCTCTGTTTCTGACATCGTAGACTTCCAATCATACTTTATTTTTTCCTTGGAAAACTATCCGACGTAATATCTTCGAAACTTCCTTGATTTTTCTTCTCTGCTCGTAGAATATTCTGTATAAATTAAACTTCAAGCTATAAATTGGGCTCCTCATTAAAAAAATAAACTGGGAGCATAGCTTTTGAAACACAGCAATGAAGATACGAGGTGTCGCACTTTAGCCATCGACATAATCCGATTGTTGTTGGAATCAAACTCGTGACGCAATATGTTTTTGTTTTTCCCGATTTTTTTTCCCGATCACTGACCAATTTTCTTTAACTGACAAAAATGTACCTGAGGCTTCTTCTTGCCACATTTTTTTGAGCTTTCCTCCTAACACTGCAATAAATCTTTCCTCATTCATATGGCTGACTAGAACCAAAAAATGATTTATAAACACTGTTGCAGACTTTCAACCTATGTCGGTAGTTACGTGTATGCAGTATTTTTGGCGCGTATACGTAGTATACCGCCTTTGCGATCGTTTCGACCCCCCCCCCCCCACAATAACCGAGTCCCCTAGTTCCTTACCGAAAAGTGACTACCGCGAACTTCTGAGATTTTCCAAAGCGTGTAAAAAGTTTACTAATCCGTCAATAATAATGATTAAAATTTGTTTCTCATTCTGGGGCTCGCTAGTTTATGTGTAATGAATACCAAGAGTCTACGTTTCTTGGTTTTTTTTAAAAAAACCTTAGAATGGGGCGCGCTGATTTAAAATATGCATATATAAGCGGAAGCAAGCGAACTGATTCGAGGATGGCTGACCAGTTCGGCACTCCTTGAATGAGAATTTCACTCACTCCGTTTTGTTCACAACGTTGCTTTGACATATCTCCACAACACTGTTATCCTTTTCAAAAGTTGGTACTCCTTGCTCTGATAGCCGGGGCCACCAGGATAGTGGTAAGTGCAATCTGTGATGAGCCTCGAGACTCATTAGACCATTTGCTAAACGTGGCTCATACAGGAGTCCACTAAGCCCTCTCGTCCCCACGCTCCTGATCACTGCGTCGGCGTCACGAAGAACAATGGGCCTTGGGTCCCAACGCGGCCGATACCCGTACCCCAATTACTCACGCTTCATTAACCATTTCACCGTCACGCTAGGATTCATCCAATTTTCAAAAAAAAT